GTGTTCAAGGCGAGGTTGAACACAGGGCTTTGGAGCAACCTGCTCTAGTGGAAGGTGTCCCCGTGGCAGGGGTTGGAACTGGATGAGCTTTAAGGTCCCTTCCGACCTGAACTATTCTGTGATTCCATCAAACTGTGGTACTTTGGTCCTAGTGACCCTGAGCCCAGGTAAGGGCCCAGAGAGCACCCCTATATCCCACTCCCAGCAGGGACCCACTGGCACTCAAAGCAGTGCTGGCCTCAGGTCTCCAACACCCTCAGACATCTCTCTGCTCATGAAGGCAAGGCTGGAAAAGTACTGGAGCCCACCTGGACTGCAGCTAGGGATCAGTGGAGCCTCTGGCTAAGAGAAGGGAATGAGCACACACTTCAACCTAAGAAATCTGGGTAGCAGTAACACAGTTTGGTGTAAGCGGCCCCAGCAGAGCAGGTGCACAGAGGAACACCTTCTGCCACAGCCTCTTCAGCCACAGCCCAAACACAAACGCTTCAGCTCATCTTCCTGAGCACAGCAGAGCATGGCCTGATGCTGCTGAACAGCATCCGCGTCTGCTGCCCGCCCAGCTGCCGCCAGGGAAAGGCTTGTGGAGACTTGGACATCATCACTGGGATGCTCGGAGTCACGCTGTAAATCTGGTGAAAGAAATAAACACCCATGTCACCCAGCACAGGCTGCCCAAGGGCGGAGGGGGCAGGAGCAGCAGGAGGAAAGCAAATGAGTCATTAATTCTCCAAGCGAAAGAAACTCTTCTAGCGTCACGCATCATGTGGAAAAAGGGCACTACCTCTTCATGTCAAAGGAAAAATTAGGCTCTCACAGAAATCCCTCCAGCAGTTAAAAGTCATCAGAAACGATCTGATTATTTAGGGACACAAGGTCAGCTGTGCTGTGCTGCCCGCACAGCACGGAGAGCTGCTGTGAATGCACATGCTGCGGTGGAACGTCGCTTGCTGGAGCAGCATAAGGTGGAAAAGCCAGAAGAGAGAGAAGCTGCAGGGCAGAGCAGCAGAGAGAGGCAGCATTGAGCCCTGGGGCTGGCGTGGTTTGGTGAGGTCCCTCCCAGCCACTGGGGCTTTGTACAGAGAACACTGAACATCAGTAACCATTGAATTCATTTTAGTGTCACACACCGACACACAGCCAGAACTACACCTTGGCCAAAATCCATAAAAAGTGGCATTTTATAAAGGAAAAAAAAAAATCATAATCCTTTATTCCCCAGAGATGTAAATCCCAAACAGCTAACATATGCAGACATGCCAGACCTGATAAATACCCAAGAAATGGGGGACAAAACCCTTACACTGACAGCAGAAAAATGCAGACCTACTCTCTAAAAGTGGAACTCCAACCACCCAGACCTGTAGCACTCTTGAAAGGCTGAAACTAAAAATCCATTTTTCCTTTTATTTCCTCTTGTCTACCAAACGAAATGTGGAAATTGAACCGGGGAAGCCTTTGGGGAAAGACACGCGACGATTAACTCGAACATCATCTTCAGCTATTCATAACTGAGTTAGAGTCATCCGCAGACAGAGCAAAGAAAAATGAATCTAGAATGGATTATTCATCCCCCCAAGGGAATAATGAATCTCTGCAAACCCATGTTCCCTCCTCCCTGGCTACTGCACTTGATAACGTGTGAACCATCCTGCACATGCACCTTGAGTTAATCTATCCTTAGGGAATGGCTGTTCATAATCCCAATGTGCTTTCAACCAGCGTTCCTTCTTTAGTCACCTGACATGAAATCAGGAGAGGAAATAAATGAAGCAACAGCAGACTTGGGAGGATTTTGGAATTTGGAGTGATGAGAAACTGCCTTCCCTCTCCACTAGTGTTGTTACTGCAGCTCTGCAATGGATGTCACCACTATGGTGCTCTGCAGCTGAGCACCCTCCAGGGCCCAAGCCTGGGGACCCCTGAAAACACATCCTAAAGGGCTGGTGTTCACGTACCTGTTGGTGCACACCTTGCTGCAGCAGCAGGTCGGTCTGAGCAGCATTAGAAAACCTGACAGTGAGCATTTCATCCCTGTGGGTTTATTCTTCCTGCTGCAATCCGTGCTCAAGTCCTGTCTGTTCAAATGCAGGCTCACCTGCCAACTGGGCAAAGGGAGGATGGAATTTTACCAAACAGGCACCAAATTTGCCCTCCCACAGCTACAGGACTAAGGAGAAGGAAGGGGAGCAGCCTGCACCCAAGAGGGGACAGTGCTGAAGCACGAAGAGGCAGACAGCTTGAGTCCAGGTGCTGCCTCATTTGGGGATTTCTCATTTCCCCTCTTCCCTCCCTGATCCTGGTGAAGACCTGGATTTTGGGTGGACAGAGCTCATTCTTCTGGAGCATGTTTGATACCCCCCTCCCAGCTGTGCAGCAGCAAGTACTCAATCCCTATTGAGCACAGCCCCTAATAAGTAGTCCTAAGGCCCAAACTCAGCCTGGTGGGGAGTGTGACCCATCCAAGAAGGCATCTGACAGCATGATTGCTCCTCACCTGCCAAACTGGTACAGGACTTCTCCCTCATGCACATGCAAGTGAGGCCTGAATTAGAATAAAGCAGGCACGATTGGTCGATCTGCCCCTAAACCCATATGGGATTCAATTGTTCATGGTTGGGCCTTCAAAGTCCCCCAAAAAGGGTACAGAGAGCTTGGGAATCCAGCGTTGCTAATGACGAGGTGATGTTTCCCTCCACTGAGGCTCCTTAGGGAAACCTCACACAATGGGCAGGGTGCAGATATCCACCAAATGCAGCCCTGCTCCACACTAGCTTTGTAGCTGGGTGCCAGGTTATCCAAAATTATTTCACCTCTGGTTCTTCTCCTCTCCGCACTCGTGCAAGCTGAAACTCAAAGGAGGAAAGGAAGGCCCTCAAGGTCCGAGGCTGGTGCAAGCATCCTGTCCTGGGAAGAGGCCCTGGCTCACTGTTATAGCCATTTCCAGCATCTCTCCTTGCAGGGCAGTGAAGGTGCCAAAGGGACACACCCCTGCTGGCTTGAGAGCGAGGAGCTGGTGCTGTTTGGCACTTGCTCCATGAACAGCCCTTTGTGGAGAGAGGGTGAGATGCTGTATGGGAACTCCCATCAGGGACAGCAGTGAGTCCAGCACACACAAGAGTAACAACAAGCAGCTGGAGATGGGCTCTGCAGATGTCTGGTTTGGCCTTTAAGCTGTAACAGCAACCAAGGCTGCTGGCTTCTTGGCAGGAGGTTTGCCAAGGTGTAGAAAGCATCAATTCAACCCTTTCCTCCTCTTCTGAAAGGATCTGCTTTGCTGTTTTATTGGTGGTTTACACACGCCTGTCCTGGAAGCAGGGGAGAAGTCTGCTGAGGGTTTCTCTCCTGGGCATCTCATTAATCCAGTGGAGCTGCAGATGCCTGGATCCCAGCTGTTAAAGGGGTTGGGGATTTGGTGGTGGTGATGGTTTGGAGTTAGTTTTCCCCCTGCAAGAAATAATGAAACACAGGAACAGCTCTGCAACAGGGAGTGAGCAGTAACACTGAACTCTCAGGCAAAATCCTGTGCTGCAGCAGGAGCTCAGCCAGGCTGAAGGCTGGGACACAAAGTGTATCACAGCTGGATATTCTCTGAATCCTTCTAAACTGTTTTTGTAGCTGCTGACTTCCAGATACCTCTATTTTCTCTACCACACAAACCCACCAATGTCCTGGGTTTCACTCCTGCTAAGCTGTCTCAGGTCAAACACCTTGGTCAGATTCTCTCTCGGTCTGAATGGAGATGCAGCACCACAGTTTATGATGGTTAAGAGATCACAGGACATGGGGGTGATGGGACAGGGATTTTTCAGCAGCATACTGTCAATCATATATGTGAGGAGCTTTGCTCCCAGCCACTGCAGCTAGTCCTGAGCAACAGAGTTTCCTTCTGCTCACTTAGAGTCTTTTTTTGATTAGTTTCTCCAGTTTCCGTATCCGAGAGGATTCCTGCTCAGGTGTGGGAGTGCTCAGTGAGAGGGAGCCAGTGTTCTCCACACCGGAGGGAGGAGCTGGGAGGCGCTGGCGGAAGAGGTCCAGCATGCTGCTCTGCTCGCTCCTCTTCAGGCCCTGCAGGAGCAAACAACAGTGAAGCACCACAGTCAGACTGCATTCATGTGGGAGCGGGTGTGCATGAGAATAACTGCAGGAGTCAAACCTCAACCTTTTGTTCACCTACCAAGAGCTGGTTTTACACCTCTGGATGGTCCTGAGAAAACCGAGCTCAGCCCCAGGAGCAAGAGCAGGTATGTGTATATAAAGTGAACTACAAAGATACTCTTCAGTAGCAATTCCACAGGACACACCTGCCTTCGAGTAGTCTTCCCACTCCCAAACCCCTCCATATTTCTACTGAAAAAAGTCACCAATAATCTCAGTGCAGTGGTAGTGGACAAGCAGAAACTCTGTGGGACACGTTCTAACCTTCATGTCTAGTATCTTCTGGAAAGTGTCGGTGCTGCAGTCAGCAAGCAGCTTGATGTAATTGTCAACAAACACAACTGGGGGTTCGTGTGGAGCCATAACCACCTGCCAAGACAAAAGAGATCAGACAAATTCTATGAGTTAAATCCAGCAATTGGTCAACCCAGGCACATGAGAGACAGCAGGACTAGCTTCTGTAAAATAAAATGCTTAAGGAACAAGGCGGCTGTATGTGCTGCGAGTAACTGAGAGGTAAAGGTGAGTGAAGTAAAGTAAGGAGCAGGAAGATGGATGGGGTCTCTACGCACAGTGGTGGTGTCTGGACCCAGAGGGCTGCAGATATCATTTCACAAAGGAGCAGGACCTTGTCTCTATGCCTGTGGGCTAGCAAGCATTGGTGTATTGTCAAAGCTCAAGATTTTATCTTGTTGTGTGGGGAAGACTAGCTGGGGAGTTGCTTGGGGGAGAAAGGCAGTGCTGGTGGTGGTGACAGGAAGTCCCCATCGGGTCAGGCAGCCTGGACGCAGCCCAGACCCTCACTTTGTGTGTCCCTCTGCTCCCTCCTGCCTGGAGGTAGGGTAGAGACAGCACAAGGGAATCTGACAACACTTTGCAGTCCCTCCCTCTATCCCCAGGACAGCGAGGTCAGAACAATCTGCCATGCAGTCTTCCTGCTTCTGACATGGAACCTGATGGGCAAGTGGTGCCACATGCAGCCACTCCGTCCTTTGGGTACACTCCTCTGGAGAGGCTGGGATGCAATGTGTGACCCCCCCGCTGAAGTCTGCCCCGGAGCTCACACTCCCTTAATGCCAGCAACAGTCAAGTCAGGAAAAAAAATTAAAACAGCCTTGAAGCTGGAAAGATGATTACTCATTGTTATATTTTCCTTACATAAGCAGCAAGCTCCATAGAGAACACACCTTTTGATAATGCTGGGCAGCAAAACCATCATTCTGGGGAAGTGTGTGTGTGTGAATGTGTGTGCATGCAGGGCAGAAACAGCACAGGACCAGACTCTTCCCTGTCTCTGAAAACATTTCCATATGTTTCCATTGACCCAGCTCACCCCACACTGTATTCTGTCACAGAGACATTTCTTTCTTTCCCTGCACTTCAGACCAATGAAACATCATAGCCATGTATACACTTATAAATCCTTAATTTACAGCCCTTGTAAAAATCTTCTGCCAAGATGAAAAGCTGGAACTTCAGACAGCAGAGCCAGAGGAGAAAGGAAAGAGCTCTATGGGATGTGTTGTACCCTGACGCCCTCCTTCCTGCTTTCATCTGTGCTTTGTAGGGTTTTGCTAAATGAATTTGTTTGTACCATCTCTGAGTTTGTGCCATCATGGATACTCCTACTGAATGACAGCTGCACCAGTATTAACCTGGGCACGCTGCTGTGTGGTGGTACTGCTGTATGCAAAAGAGGCACCATTTCTGAGCCATCCTGGAACTAGGTAGGAGAGCCCTGAAAACACTGTGGAGGAATGTAGTGCCTGTGCCTCTGAGAGAGTGAAAGAGCTCTTAGGGAAAAGACTCTGATATACAATTTGGAAACAGCAGAGTCTGAGCATTGATAAAAAGAGACAATCAATAAGGCAAACAGAACAGCCAGAGATGACCAGTCAGCTCTGGGCCCCTGCAAGCAAACCTTCCTACTGAAATGCCCCACCCCTGTCAGTGTTCAAGGCCAGGCTGGATGAGGCTTGGAGCAACCTGGTCTAGTGGAAGGTGTCCCTGCCCACAGCAGGAGCTTGGATCTAGATGAGCTTTAAGGTGTCTTCCAACCCAAACCATTCTGTGATTCTACGATTCAGCCCAATCATCTGCTGATCACACAGGGCTTGATTTGTCCAACAGCTCTGTGGAGCACTGAGCACTGTAAATGTTTTGTTGTTTCATTACTAGTTACATCGACACAGAGCCCTCACTCAGGGCCAGCAGAAGTGTGTTCTGCAGCAGCAAAGCAAGCATGAAATGTCTGAAAATGTGGACACACTGCTACTGCCCAGCCTGCAGACCAGCAGCACCCTGCAGTCCTTGCCTGAGGCACTTCCTATACTGCTTTCATCTCAATCGCAATGAAAGCAACGTGATGCCAAGGTGGACAAACTAATTCCATTACCTTTCCAATTCAGACATAAGCTCCAAGGAAAAACCCATTTCTGTATGGAACAGGCTCCCATCTTTGTTGCTCCGCCATTAGCAGTAGCAGGGTATTTTTCTTCAGGTCATTTATAAGAAAATTTAAACTTGCTCTAACACCATAATCACCTTACTCCAGAAGCATGGAATTGCAGAACTAATTTCTGAATTCAGAATGCAAACGCAGCCATGACATTATCTTGGGGCACAGGAGCAAAGCCACACTAAGCAGAAAGCATGGAGAGGCTGGGCCCTGCACCCCCTCCTTGCCTTGGCTGTGGTTTATAGGAGGCTCTAGCTGGCAGCAGCCTGTTCTATCTGACCCCAGGTCTCACTAATACACGTAGAGGAACATCTTCACTTCAGCATTGTTGGTAAACAGGGGACAATCCCATCACCCCGGAGGGTACAACTACACAGCTCCCATGGCTTCTCCTGGGATCAACCCAAACTTCTTACTCCAGCAACAAGGGGGAAGGGGAGGTTGCTTTGCTTGTTACTTTTTATGAAGACAACACACTGCTTTTGGGTCATTTTCCAGGCACCAGGTCTGGAAAATAAAAAAGGACTCTGGTGAATACAGTAACCCAGACATGTTTGCACTGGCTGTTACACTAGACAGTAAACAGGTGACTCAAGCACGGCTTGGCTCCCCTGTGTGAAGGAGTCTGCACAAAGGCCTGGAGTAACCTGAACTGGAGGGTTTGCCATGCAGCAGACACTTATGGATGCTAGCTCTGATTTTCACAAGCTCCTGAGGGAATCTGGTGCCCCAGCTCTCTTAGTAAGCAGAACTTGAGCCCGCGGTTACCTTGAAAAATGAGGATGAAAACTCAAATGAGATGTTAAAAGAGAGTGGGGGCAAACCCAAGGCAAATAAGCCAGTTCTGTCAAACAGCTGGCAGCGCACCCGGACAAGCTCACATACGTTCATGTGCGATTGCAGATTGCTGTGTTCAAAGGAAGGGCCCCCTGGAATTCGTTTGCTCCAAATCCCAGTCCAGCAGTCTGGCTGGCAGGTTATCAAAAGTCTTGAGTTACCTTCAGGATCATTTCAGCCCGAGTCATGCCTTTCACCACTATCTTCGTATAGCTGGCAGGAGCCTTCCTCACCACTTGGGACCCAATGGAGGGCAGATCCAGAAGAACCATCTTCAGAGAGTGAGTGTCCAGCAGCAGCTGCAATAGTTAATCATACCCTCTTATTACCAAGCTCCATTACCTACCATAATCCAACATCCTTAAAAGTTTAACACTTCCCACATTGGAAAAAATCCCAGTAATTGGACTACAGGAACAGGAGGGGCTGACCCATGTAACGATACTGAAGGAGACACGATCACCCGTGGCTATGTATCAACACCGTCCACTGATTTGAACACAGCACTACTCTGTTGACTTGAAATGACTTATGTGCCAGATGTTGAGCTGCCCTAAGGCGGAGTTTTCCATCCAGCCCTCTTCCCCTTGACAGTATAAAGTAAAACAATCTCAATTACCTATAGCTGTATCATTACCTAGATATTGAGGTCAAATGAATTAACACCATGCTTTCCACTGCCCCCAACCACCCACTGTGTCAGGATTTCTGCTCTACTCAACCACTTGATTTTAAGTTTTTTTCTTTAAAAAGAAAGTAGCAACACATTACAGCTCCATGGAGAACTGCTCAATACCCTGTGTACACTGAAACTCACAGCCTGCATATTGCTTTTTATTTTACCAATGGCTAAATAAGCAGCAAGCAGCAGCCATGAAATTTAGCCCAGACAAGCACTGATGACAAAATGCTGTGGGTTAGGGTTTCTTAGAGCAAAATTACCCCAAATACCACATTCTTCTGATTGTACAAGGTACATTTGAAGAAGTAAGATAAGACCAGTGAAGGACAGAAATCTGAAATCAAACTAGAAGAAGAGGAGCACAACTGATTCACGCAGCAACGAGTGAAAGCTCGCTGGCACACCCAGTGCATTTCCTCCTGCAAAAGGGTTCTCAGAAGCAGGTGGAAACTCGTTCTTCTGGAGCAATATACAACGTTATAGGCCCTGCAGAACCCCCCAGCAGTCACTGTGGACAATCTGAACATTTATGGTACAGCTTTCAGCACACACAGGAATTCAGTGCAAATACAAAGGACTGAGCTGAGGAGGAGGGATGGTGGATCACACCACTTCAAATCTGGTCCCTGTTATCTGCAGCAGCGTATCATTGCTATGTGCTGCCTGTTTCATGGTTTGCATGAGATGAATCGATGCCATCAATCTCGTCCTGGGAAGCCAGGAAACCACAGCACAAACGAGCAGCTCTATGCACCCTGGAGCTGCTGGAGCCTCAGGCTGTCATAGCTGGATTCCTGTGTGCGTACGAGAGACCCCATAGATGGAAGATTTTTCCATGGCTGGAAAATTCACATCTATCCCATGTAAACTCTGCCATGGCTAATAGGACTTCTGTGCACTCTGCAGCCTTTCCCACAGACACAGCACTTGCAATCTCTGTCCACTCACCCTGTTTCCCCCTGTTACCCATTCCAGGTCCCTAGCATTACCGTCTCACTGCCAAAGCTTGCTGAGACAGAGGATTGTCAAGTCAGATATACAAACACAAAGTGAAACCCTACAGGTCTTGTTCCCTGCACTGAACGCTTCTGTAAATAATGCCTTAGTGCCTAGATTTCAAACACGATTATTAGGAAACAGCACCATGTTTAGAATAGGGAAGGCCTGGAAAGCATATTCCACAGCAACACTTGGTGGAAACATGCTGGTGGGTGACCAGGGGGGTGTTCAATAGATGCTAAGGCAACTGAGGACCTATATGCTGCAGAGACAGAGGAGACAAGCTTCTGAAGACCTTTGTACATCTAACCCCAGGAAGGTATGTCCCACTTATAAATGACATATATTCACTGTGAAACAGGCTAAGAAAAACCTTCCCAGTCTGCTTTAAAGCAGCAAATTAGGCCTGTTATTCCAATACAGTAATGTTAAAACCTTTTAACATTAAACACAAACCCACTGCTGGCAATTGGTTAATCGCTTTAGATGGTTATTCAAAAGACTTTGTTTAATCACTCTCAGGTTTGCCCATTGCACAAGATGAGCAGGAACTGCGCTTTGCTCATTTGCTTCCCATTAAGAGGAGGGTTTTGATGTAAAGCTCCTGTTTCATTTTGCAGACACACACTGCTCAGAACCCATCTTTGATGCCTAAAAGCCAAGCAGCTTTTAAGGCACTGATTTGAAGTTCACAGCAGTCCCATTAGGGACAATTCTGATTTTGTCTAATTAGCCCACGGGGAAGCAGCTGTTTGTGCCAGGGACAGCTGAGAACCTGCCTCATCCAAACCTCATCCTCACAGAGCAGTGGGGGCCCAGCCCACAGGCAGGGGTGGGAGATGAAGGGTCTCAAGGCAATAAATATCCTGCACTGCCCATGTGCAATTCAGGGACAGGGACTCCTGTGAAAGGGCAGCATTTCAAGAGAAATGCATGTGTTAATTCAAGTGGCAATAATTCAACATGCTTCCTTCCCCAAGATTATGTCTCACCATCTTGTGGTACCTACAGCTCTCAGGGCAACAGGAAGACAGGTTCATGGGAGAAAGCTGGGGAGTCCTGAGCCCCAGATACTGGGTGGTCATTTCCCTGGGTCTCAGTCACCGAGTGGGAGAGGTGGGGACAGCTCTTCCCCACCATGCTGCAGTGTCTGACATGTGTTTGCAACGTCTGAGGAAGCAAGGCCTGGAAGGCATTTATGCAGGAAGAAACTGTCCTGTCTTCAGACACTGCACTATCACTTGCCCTCAAAAAACAGGGCCTCCATTTAGCATTTTTTTTTGGGACAGAACAGGAAAACTCTGCACTGTGCCTCCCTGCACAGCTCTGAGGACAAGACGACAGCAACCATCCACAGGCAAACTAGAGGAGGCAAAAATCTAACTGCACTCACTGGAATTCAGCCAGGACACAGGCTCTGGCAAAACTGCATCAGGCTGCAGAGGAGCCCTTAGGCTCCCACAGCGTCACTTCCTCAGAGAGGAAGGAGCCAGCACCTGGGAGCAGCACGAGCAGTCCCTGAGAGGATGCAGCATTGCTCTGCTGGAGTATTGCTGTTTAGACTCCTGAGCTGAGAAACTGCTTGGACACCTGGAGGTTTGGGGTTTTGGTCTGGAGTTGTTGCTGGGTTTTTTTGGTAAAGTTTTCCTGCTGTCTCACCTCCCCTCCAAATGATGCTTCCTCCAGCAATTCCTTTTAAGGAGCAGACATATGTATGAATAAAGGATTAAAGCCACTACTGCACAGGCCTTCTTCACTGCCCACTCTCCACTCCTGCACTTCTTGAAGGGAATGAAAGAGGAAGCACATCTTAACCAGCAACTACAAGCTGACCATGCCCCAGCTCTTCCGCGCAGAGAAACGATAGGCTTGAGGTTAACCAAGTGAGAAGGTACAGTAGCAGCAGACGGAGATTTGAGAAAGGATGTGTCAGAAAATAGTCTTCCTGAGAAGGACATGGGAGCTTCTTGCAATAGTTTCTGCCACAAACAACATTCTTTTCCTCTGTGTGCATACACTGAAGACAAATCTCATCATGACACCTTAGACCAGTGCGTAAGAGGTTTGTTGTTCCTGGGCTATCATTACTTTGACTGGCAAAGCGAGAGCTCCTTTGCTTGGGAAGGTGCTTAAGGCCCCTTTCCCATGACAGGTTCACTGTGGCAGGATCCCTGTAAACCTGCTTCCACTCTGCCCTGTACCAGCGTATCCCTGTTGCCCCAGCTGCACCAGAGTTCAGGACACGTAACTCAGCTCTCTGTCCCTTTCTACCAAAAGCTGCCTTGACTTTTTGAACCCAGAAGTCATAAACATGTTAGATAATACAACTACTTTTTCTTACCTGTTCTGCACCCACCATGCTAATTGGTTTGCACTTGAAGAGATGGTTAATGAACTTGGGAATGAAGGAGCTGCAGAGATGAGATACAAAATGACACAATTACATATGAGTATGTGGAGTCATACAGTCTTCTGTGGTAACAAAGCATGCAAAAACAGATCACGATGGCTTTCCACAAAGATATTGTAAGTGCCTGGTTCTCAGGATGATTCCAGACACATTAAGTATACTGAATAAAAATCCAACAAACCCTAGGTACAATTCTTTTGCTTTAATCTGTACTGATCTCAAAGTTAATTGAGAAGTTGCACACATACTCTGCGTAAATAAATTGCTATAAACTATACGTGAAGTACTACAGCACAAGGTCAAGAACAAGCAAACTATTGTACATAATAAACACAGCAACATGCCAGGATTAGCACAGTTATTCACTGAGGAGAAGAATCCAGAACCTACAATTTACTGCATACAAGTAATTCCATAACATGCATATTACACCCTGAACTTGAGGTCCAGCCAAGGCTGGAGATCTGCTAGGCCCTGGACACTCACACAGAAAGGCACTCTTCCAGAAAGCTGCTGGCCAACACAATCAAGACAAGAAAAAGTTTTGTGAAAACACTATTACCCTGTTTTACTAATGTGGACTTCAGACTCAGAAAAACGACTAAGGTACATATACTCAAGTGGGGAGAACTTGGCAAAGATGGAAGCCCAATATTTGCCAACACGCTCCAGAGCATCAGCTCTGGTTTTAGCTTTCTGCTTCCTGGTTTTAGGCTTTGTTGCAATTTCATTCCTCAGTGGAAAAGCAGATGCTCCCTGCTAGCAGAAGCAGTGGCTGATCACCTACAAGACAAGCTCCTGCCCAACCTACTCAACTGAGGTGCAGCACCAGGAAAACTCAGGAGCTGAACATGAGGAGAAAGGCCAGAATGAACAACACGAACTCTCAGGACCACACCACTCATACCCTTGTCTTCCTTTTGCTGCCTTGTTTTTCAATGTACTCTGACTCTTTCACATGGTCTTCTTTGGCCGAATGCCTACCAGGCTCATGTTTCCAGGACCTTGCCCATGACCTGGTGGCAGGTCTTAGATTTTAATGACACTGTTCTAAGTTCATATAAGCCAGTCTGTTTTTTTAATTTTTGAATGAGACACCATTTATGATGATGATCTAAATTCAGTGTGGTTTCCCCCTTGCATCTGTCAAGCTATTTGTTTCCTTCCCACAAAACAAGGAGCATGAACAGCATCTTGTGTGTCCTGCCACCTGTTTTCCAAGCCAGGACATTTATTTTTTGCCCTTTCTCATGGAAGAATGACAAAAGTGTAACTCAGGCACAGAGCATGCCAAGTTGCTGAGAAAATCCAAAGAAATGGTTCAAGGAAGAGTCCAAGCAAAGGCTCCTTCCTTTCCCCTTCCCTCAGACGCAGCCACGACCTCTCTCAGTGAATCATCCCTTCCTGAAGAGGTGTCAGGGAGAACAATTTCAAACTACTACTGAGAACTAGCTACTGGGCTGCCCCAAACAGATTTGAATTTGGCCACCAGAGAAACAACCTTGGCAACAAAATACAAATAAGAGGAGGGAAACAAGCCCTATCTCCTCTTGCACGAAAGCATTACAGCAGAGATGAAATATATCTGTTCTAAAATCCATTTTCCAGGTGTATAGCTAATTCCCAGAGGGCAATTAGAGTGCTAAGCACAGCTGGAGCTTAGCTGATCCTATAAAATGATCGATGGGTAGCAGCTCTGGGTGCAGCGCCTTGCTACAAGCTGAAAAGAGCAAGAAATTAACTCTACCGTTGATCTTGCAGCTAGGTCCAACTGTCCTTCTGTCTGTAAGGTCAGACATGGAGATAATGCTCATGTTCTATATGTGAGCCTCTCTTTTTACAGGGTGGCAGACCAGCAGCCAAAGGACCCTCTCCCCTGTCTTTTTTTAATCTTCCTTTCTATGTAACCACATGGTCTCCCATAGCCAGCTCTCTGTCTTGCATGAAACAATTCCCAGGCCCCTTAGGATGGCCACCCACAATCAATACAGAAGGGTAAAGTGACCTTCCATCCCCACATGCCTGTTATTTCACGCTGCCTTATTGGAAACAGCTTCTCAACTCCAGCAGGACAGACAAGACAAGCCATAAGAACCAAGGGCTGCTCTGGTATTTTGGGAGGGTTTTTTGGACAGGCAGACACCATCGAGAGCAGTTGCACTTAACTGAAAAACTCAAGTGAGTCTCCTGCCTAGGCTGGACTCAGTGCTTGGCTCTCTCAGCATACAGCAGGCAATCCTGATGCAAGTAATACGTGCGAATTCAATGTTAATGCTCTGCACGAGGTTTTGTACTCTAAATGCCTTCACTCCCTGCACATCCACAGAGCTAGACTGGATGCCAGAATTCATTTACAGTTTCAGCTATAAAACCGAATCCAGCAAACCCTCCATAGAAGCAGACAAGTCCCCAGCGTAATAATAAAGCGGTGCAAGTTAGATTAGGAACCTAAAGCAGAGAAACCACAGCATCTGAGAGGCTCCCATCCAACAGGAGTGGCTCTGCCAAAACCTTTGCTTTCCTAATCCCCTGCACTCATGATGCATCATCAGACACAATACCTTGCTAAGCAAGGCAGACAGAGATGCAACCACAGTCTTGTCTGTCTGAAGGAAGATGAGATACTGCAGGGCATCATTCAAAGCATCCTGGTGTCACTGAGTCACTGCAGCTGAGAAGGGTTTTGCTTTACACCCCGCTCCAAGGCAGTGACCAGCCTTTGCAGCTTGCCCAGGCTTAGCTCATCTTGCTGCTTCGAAACCTCCAGGAGCCTCCTTGTCATGATCTTCTTCCACCCAACTCCTCTCACTACAAGCACAATGCAAAGGCCAGAACTGGAAGAGTGCCTGCTGCAGTTACCCACCATGCTTGCCTGTTTGTAATATAGATGAGCTGCTTTTCTGGTGAGGGGGAGAGCTGTTTGTTTTTCCTGTCTCTCAGACCTAATCTCTTCCTCATTGAGGTCAGGTCACAGACTTCCCAAACACATCCCTGCGCAGCAGCCACAGCTTCACCACTGTGGTTTTTGATTTCAAAGGATAAAGACTGAGGTGCAATGAGAACAGAGCCCCTCACCCTGCCTGCAAGTGCCTCCTGGAAAGCTGACTGCTTCTCATTATTTCATGGGAGTGAGGGTTGCATATTGGTCAAAACAAAACAAAAATGACAAATTAGGTTAGAGGATTGATGCAATTTCTGATGGCCATTTTTCTTCTTGCAGACTTGGCTCAGATCCCTCAGTTTTAAATTTAGTGACTTTAGATGCCTTCTCCCCTGTGGTCCTGTAACTCAACACTAGTGCTTTATACAATCCATTAGAGCTGAGAAGTGGCTGGCAGTTCAAAAAGATACAGGCATTAACATATGGAGAAGTCCAATGCCTGTTAAAAAGATTTTCAGTGTCGTGGAGCACACAAAAGGCCAGGTATTTATATTGGGCAGGCAAGCATATTCCATAAGAATTCAGAGCTTAAAAAAATACAAGTGTTTGTATGCATTAAAATGTCACCAGCATTTTAAGTACATCAATGCACCCTTACCGCTGGGCTAGTTCTCCTTAAAACCAAGTTGTACAGAAGAACTCTACATATGATCTGGCAAAACAATCCTTAGGAACCGAATTTTCACTTCTCTACCTGATTCACAGCACAGTGAACTCAAGACTGTCTTCATTTTAATGCGCTGCAGATCAGAGCTGTAGTTGTCTTAAAAAAGGTTTTGAAGTGGAGTGGGAGTTTTGCAGGTTTCTGTGCTCAGCTATGGAACAAGCTATGTTGAAGGCACTCAGATGTTCATTTTATGCTAGGTTTACTTGGTATGTGCTTAGCAATAAAGTTAAAAGGGAGGCAACTAAGCTGAGGTATTAAGAGTGTGCTCTGAACAGCTGAGTAAATGGGGGTTTTTATTTATCACCACGTTAGTGATGTAAAATTCAAGTGAAACCACATAGAAGGCTTAAGTGCAATAAATTTTCACTGAGACAGCATTTCAAACAGTGATTATGGGCAACGTCATAATATGATTTATCAGTAACTGCTCCTTAATGCAAACTAATGAGTACCCTGAGATAGAAAGGGGGAATGAAACTCTCAGGCCAGCCTCCCTGCTGCGAGAGCTAACAGTTCTCAGGAGAGTTTGCTGCATCCTTCCCTGCTGAAGCTCCAGTCTCAAATCCACACAAGTAACTGCCAGGGCATAGTTTATTTCAGGATGATTAGCTTATTGCAGATGAATGAAACGTTAAGGTATTTTAGAGTGACACATGATATGCATGGCACAGCTCACAAGTCCACCAGCAGAGTCACATGCAACACCAAAAGCAGCAGCTACAACTGGCAGAGTCCTCCTGAGGGTTCTTCTTGGGGCACTGGCATGCAAAGCTCTCCTGGCCACAGGCAAGCAGGGAAGAGTTCCAAGTATCTTCTCAAAGAACTGAACTTTTGTTTCAGACACATAGCTTCAAAGTTTGGGTGTCCAAGAGATGCTGGAGAGCTGCACCCTCAATCCTAAACCCAGAGGCAAGGGGCATTTCTGACTCATCTTCCAGTTTTTTCACAATGCTCAACTTCAAGTGACTTTACAGGAAGACACTTACAATATTCCCCTCCTTTCTGAACTATCTTTGCACAAGAAAGCAGCTTTTGGTCTGTCAAGGCAGAATATATGCATCACATATACCCTCCTTACAGTGCTATAGGTATTTTAGAAGCTACATTGAATCAAATGATGCACCAGATTTTTTAGTACCTGGAAGCACCAAAGCCTCTTATCACTGGAAGGAAGGTAGGTTCCCATAGCAGGAGTCATGTCTAATTCAAACATTCAAAGCCTTTTAAAGATGTCCAACCCAAAACCTTCTGCACTTGGCAAAGAGTAAGCAGTGATCATCACAGTATTTTATGGGATGGTTTAGGTATGTAAGGAAGAACCAATCAACAGAAATATATGAGAATAGCAGGAAACTTGAGACAAGAAATTGAAGTATCTTTTAACCTTGCCAGCAGCTGGTAGTGTTTGCTGCCCGACCCCACCTCCCTCTTTGGATGTTTACCCAGACACTAACAGCCATGATGCCTGCCGCACTCTAGAAAGCAAACAGATTATCATGTAGAGGCTAGTGAGAACCAGACACCTCAATAAACTCTGCCATGTTGGTAACTTACTTTGCAAATTTTATGCAGAACTGAGTGAAATACTTTCTCGTGGAGGCCAGATTGTCACGGATGATGGGGACATTCTGTTTAATGTGGAGAATCACCGAGGTGACATAAGGACTCTGGTCACCAACGTGTTCCACGTTCTGCCACTGCATCTGCACAAAGGGGAAATAACAACCAAAAACTGTTTAATTCATTAAGATTCAAGCAGTAGTTAAGGAAAACTGTACAAACTTCCTGTCCAAAGATCTCTGAGGAATCATTAAGACACTGTCACTGCAATTCACCGCCAAGGTCAAGTTCTTCGTCACTACATTGATTGAGCAAAACCTTTCTACAACAAAATGGAAAGAAAACTCAGAACAGCCCTTTCTGCACTGGAGCAGAGAAATTGCAACCAGTAACCTACACAAATGGGGACCAGTAGGATTAAAAAACCTTTTTGATGCATGTCAGACGGCCTTAATATTTAACAGTTTCCAGTTTGCTGGGATGAAGTGCCCGTATAAATCCTGATTACAGGCATTTGAGAAAATATCTGCAAGCTTGCAAAGTCTGGATTCCTGTAGGGCAGCCAAGACTTTAATACTGGTGAGACTGATGACAGATAGATGGAAGAGATAGAAATACTCTTAAAGTCCAGCATAGCTCACACTGAAAACACTTCTTGTGTACATGCTGGGACACTTCAGCTCCTCCCAAATTCACATCAAAAAAAATAAACCAAGAAGAGTTACTCAACCTCTCCCATTTTGTTTTCATTTACAGTCAGCAGAAATGCAACAGAATAGCCCCTGTGAGCCAGACGTACAACTCATTTGACTTTCTCTGAGCCTTATTTGCAGTGAACACAAAATGTAAGTTGTGGGGGAAAAAAGAGGTAATTGGGTATAGACTGGCCAAGCACCCATGTGTATAACAACATCTCACCACGGAACACTAGCATCCAGAAAAGCACCCATAGCTCTGCTACTGTTCAGAGTCCACGCACTCTGCAAAGTGCTCCAACTATTTGGAGATGCTGTTTCTTGTGCTGGAGACGAACGAGAAGGAAAACAGGTATGAAATCAGGATAGGAAACTGGACATATGTGGAAGACGAGCTTTTCCTTTTGAGGGATATTTGTCCTCAAACTTGTTTTCTCAAGTTCTGGATTTTGCATGCACAAGTTTTTTATTCCTGGTTTTAATTTAATTATGGCTACTTTGTCTCCTGCACCCCAGCCAATTCAATTCCATCCAAACAACTTAATAGGCAAGAGAAGCCAAATTCTTCACAAAACCACAATGTCTGGGAGAGTCTACACATTTTCTACCAAAGCTTTATTGAAACCAACCAAACCAAACCCCAACCTGCTCATCTCACATTGCCCAGGCAGCAAGCAGGGATCTCTCTCTCATCACCTGCTCTATGGGTTTTCATTCCATCTTTCATTTGAAGATTGCTCAAGAGACAACTGCTTTTCTACTCCTCATGGTACATGCCATATCCAAAGAAAACACTTTGTGCCTGTCTCCCTGATGGATTTGCACGTTCCCAGCGCTGGCCCTTCTTGACAGTGATCCTCAACCAACAGGCCATCCACACATAGTGGGAACAGCCAGAAACTGGGAAGGGACCGATGAGTTGAATTATTGCAACAACAATAGAACAGTAGCTCTTTCACTTTGTTGGTCTTCATTCCAAAAGCAATACTTTATAACCAAACCTTTAAAGCATGAACAGTAAAAATAGCCCTTTGTGTGTGTGTATGTGGGTGTGTTTCACCCAAAGACAAGACCAGTAGCTGCAATGAAAGAAATAGTACACATACTGAAAAGTCATCAGAAGAAATATGAGCCCAACTCTTCTGGTAAAGCTTTGTTCCTGTCATTTTAAATTTATTCCTCTTTTTCCCTTGTCCTATGTTTTTCTTGGGATATCCACATAGTTTACATACACAAGCTGAAAATGAGTCCAAGGAACTCAAGCAGCGAGGCCTCGCACTCGCCTGCCAAAGGGAGAATCCCAGTACACAGGGTCTCTGACAGCAGCCAAAAGGCACCTGCACACTGCAAGGACATGGGGCAACGCGGCTGCCTGCAAGGGCAGGACCTGGGTTTGAAGCCCTGGTGCTACCTTCAGAGCTGCTTTTCACAACAAAAACCCAGGACCGTCAGGATTTTAGGATGCTTTCTTAAAAAGAGAGAAGAAAAGAGAAACCCTAAGCAAAACTGGAGTGGTTTGGCACCTAACAAGAGCTGCACTACCTTCTGGGCATAGCAAGGGCTCAAAAGCATCCCTGGGTCTGCCCAGCTATGGGTCCCCATGTCTCCGTATGTCCTTGTGTCCCCAGAGAGCTGGGAGTGGGGTGACAGCACCAACCCCCAAAGTCCTTCTTCCATGTCCAGCACTGACCTGGGTCTCTAGCAAAGGGGTCGCTTCATGATTTAATGGAAGATGGACCAGTCTCCAAGTCCAGCCATGCTCAGCAGCACCCACTGCCAGTTACAGGCTCCAGACTGGGCATGGGGAACACACAGAACCACCAGGCCAGCACTTTCACCCTTGACCACACATTGCTCATGCAGGAAGAGGTGGCAGGGGAGAGGAAAGCCAGTGGGTGCTGCAGGCAGCAGATATTGCTGCCTTTGAAACTGCTTCCATTGTCTTTCAACACGAGTTCTGGTTTGCACTGTTACATGCTGCACCGTGTCTGAGTGCTAAAACGCACCCATGGTGACTTTTAATTAGCAGCTGGCAGCTCTGATTGCTCTGCTCTTGGGGTTTTCCTTGTATGTATTGGAGAGATTATTAAAGCTCCGTATTTAAGCGCTTGCTGGTGTCCACTCAGTTGTAAAGGAAGTAGGAAATTCTAGCTGTGCCAAAAGGTTTTAGCAAAATATAAAAACCCAGCAAGCAGTCAACATGAGTCACTAAAATGTCCCCCAGCCCCACTTACCAGCACAGTTTTACACATAAATCGATGCTTAATTCAGCAAGTGAATCAAGGCTTAGCCAGTACAATCCATAAACTTAATTGGGGCAAAAATATCCCATGCAGATTAGCAGTTCCCTTATCCCAACAATTAAAAATAAAGCACACCAGGCAATTTAAGGGCCTGCTACAGATCAGTACAACACATTCACAGTAGTTTGTTATCCAGAATATGACAATGGGGTTTTAGGGCAAATTCTTCTCCCACCCCACAGCCCAGCTCCCCATCCTACAACCATGTTTAATCACTCTACACCTGCTGTAAAGTTTGAGTAAAGATTAACACCTACACATTTTGTAATATGGGGCCTTCTCATCATTTACCACTTCTTCCAGAACACACAGGTAAAGAATCAGGGAAACTGAGTACCATTCCCAGCTGAAAGCAATAGTCACAATGCCATTTTCTGTGTTAAATCTCTCTAAGTGGCTCACAGCCAAAGTGGATTTAGAGGTTTAAGTATTTCTTAATTTACCTCCATAGTTACTGAACATTTTTGCAAGGAAAAAGAAAAGTCAGACTCTAACAAAGGATTCAGAATGTTCAATCTTGGAGGACACCAGAGTGAAGTAAATGAAAAGAAGCTAAACAAAGGAAAAGCCCTAATGGAGTATAGGTCTTGAGACAGACATACCTTCCCACTACAGGAAGACTGGAATGGACCAGCCACACAGCCTTTACTCCTTTAATATAGACTGAAATTTTACACTTCCAAATACTAACTCTGCATTTAAACAATCAATCATATGCATTTCTTATTCAACTGTCAGAGTAACAACCCAGCCCTGAAGGAAAGGAAGGAGGAGGGTGAAGGAAAAAACTCTTACACCAAACACAGGTCTAGTAAAAATCACATAAATGTGACTCTGTCTGATGCAAATAGTGGAATGTGTCCACAAGTGACAAGTATTTATTTAGCTAATTTCATAACACTTAACTTGTTTGTATATCATCAGTCCCATCACATGTGCTGCATTTTACCAGTGTTCCAAAGACAAAAATAAATGGCCTACCAGCTGCTGCTTTCTCAAGGTTGTGGTTTACTTGGGTATAAACAGTCAGAACTAAGTGATTCAAATACTACTACACTCTGTAGGTTCAGGAAATCTAAGGAACTGACACAGCACACATACAACACCTGAAGTGCTGGGCCCTTCCTAACAGTGTTATTTTACAGGGGGGAAAAAAAAAATCCTCTTTTCACTTGGAACATGTACAAGCTCTCTTACCAGCTGCATTCCACTTCAAATATTAGCTGGGGGTGGCGGGGCTAGTTACAGCTGGAATACATCATAAAGCAGAAAGCTATTAAAATTCATGGCAGTGAGACAGTGTGTTGATCCTACAAAAATGGAGCTCTATGTTTAATATTTCTAATTAAAAAAAAATAGTTCAATCCACTTTTGTTGTCTTCACCTCTGTCTAAAGCAGTCTGGGTTTTCACAATACTTTGGCAAGAAAACACAGCTCTGCATTTCAAACGTATAAAAGCCAGCAGCGTAACTGCAACAAAATCCTTAAGCGCTAATCATATGGGCCTCTCTAGGAATGGCTCCATATGTCCTTGAGAGGATCACAGAAGCAATAGGTCTCAGTCTCAACTCCTTATTACCCTTTGAGTGCCTCCATTTAACAACCACAAACAAGCAGGCTAGTAAAACTCCTTGTTAAAGAACACAAAGAGGACAGCAAACAAGAAGCTGTAGTTGAAATTTCACGCTAACAAAAGTTTTCCCAATTTTAAAGGCTCTCACTGGCATTAGGAGTGAAAAATAAAGCCTTATGTACTCAGAGAAAGTATTTGTCTGTGTGTTTTACTGTGCTGCAAAAGACTGAAAGCTCTAACCTGAACAGGTTTTGGAGTGAAGGATATATTTATAAATACAGCAATTGCTGCTCTAAGAAGCAAGAAGAAATCAATGTATGGCAACTTAAAAGGACATATTTGTAAATAAAGCAATTGCTGCTCCAAGAAGCAAAAAGAAATCAATATATGGCAGTGTAAAAGGGTATGTCAATTGTGAAATAAAGCCATCAAAGCAACCAAGAACTCCACATGGATGTTAAGGCTATCTCTTCCCAAAACAAATCCACACCCTACCTTGCTCATAGCAGTCAAGGCAGGGTCACAGGCTGCATCCAGGTCCTGCACTAACAACTGTATGCTGTTGGAGATCACACTGCAAAAAAAAAGTCAAGCATAAGTTTTAGAACAGTACTGAGTGACACAGTGCCACAACTGGTGTATTTGACTGTGAAAGGAGGAAAATAATCTACTGGCTGACAGTTGCATTATGCTGTGAATACACATGGCTAAAACTTGTAATGAAAAGGAGATGAGAATTTCTACATGCTATTCATCAGGGAGCTACACAATGGGCTTTAGCATAGAGAAAACATTCTAACAGTAGACCTTTCTCTGTTTTGACACATGGAAGGGTCTGCAGATCAAAGGTGTCACACGGGATAACCCCCACCTTTGCATCAGGAAGAAGAGGAACCCCCAAGAACGCAAGCCCAGACTTGGATTTGGCTTCAAATTTAATGTATAAAACTAACATTTTCTCATGTCTCCACTTACTCACAGCCAATATTCTACTACTCACAGAAACTTGCAAAAAGGATTTAAAAAAGTACATCTGCGTGAGTTCCAAACGTGTCTCCCATTTGAGAAGATCAAGGCAGATGTCTTATTTACACTATGTCTAGGATTGCCGCCATCCATTGTTTGAGTTTCTCAAAGACATATACCAGACTAAAGAACACATTAGTCAAACATTTCCCTCCCTCTTTTTTTTCTAACAGCACAATATTGCTTAGAGACATATTTGATGCCACCATATTATGATGTGCATAAAGGTGCAACTGATCCTAAAACAATAACCAAGAAACATTGTCTGCAACAGCTCAGACCACCCTTGAGGGCATGTAACCCAGTACTCACAACATTACAGACAACTTCTGCTAGAAGTAATAAGTGACTGTTTCACTGATTAAGTACAGTTTTTAAAGAAGTGTAAACTTTAAATCTGCCACAGATGCCTGTTTACAACTTGGGATTATATATGTAAAAACTGGATTTTACTTTCTCTCTTTCTTATGATGGTAGCACAGATGGGAATTGCAGATCTGTAAGAAATCTGACCAAAACTTCCAACCAGTTTTCCTCCCCCTCGTCTTCTTTTTGAAGTTCTGGCTACTACTGTGGAGTTCACTGTTCAAAATATTTTTAAATATCCACCTCCTCATTGAGATATGGTATCACCCACTCTTAATTCTGTTGCTGGGAGCTGGGTCGTGTTCTTCCCTGCAACCCACAGAGGTTATCTATTCCCTTTCCTAAAGCTCTAGCACATAAAGTCTGGAACAAGATGGCAAGTAAAGGAGTGTTCCTTCAGAGTAATTAATTTGTTTGTAAAGGCAAACTCATCCAAAATTAGTTGGAAAACAGTCTGGGAGATGAAGTGAATACTGGCTTCAAGTTACACGATCTAAAACATGCATTGGGATAAAAAAAGCCTGTGACCATTTCTGCTGGTGTGTCTGCTTCTGCGGGGCACTACGGGATTCACTCCCTTGGGGGATTCCACCAGCTGGACTGAAATAATGTCTCTTGGGCACAGTTGACTCCTGCAGGGCACCTGCTGTCAAGTGACTTTTAGGAAAGAGCTGTGGTTCAGCACCAAAATGAAACACAACCCTCTCAGTGGAAGGAAAGCGACCTCATCATTAGGGTCCACACATCAGGAGCCTATCCCAAGTGCAGGCTCTCACCTAAAAATCAGAAAATTGCAAACAGGGAGAGAAACCTATTTGTCTACTCTTCAAAATAAATACTGGCTGTAGAGCAGAAACGGTGCAGCAAGAAAGCGGTGTTGCAAACGTGAAGCATCATGACATGATCCTGGTTCTGCCAGAAGCCACTTCACATCTCTGCCCTGGGCAGCATATAACAGTACTTCAGGAGCAGTTAATGAATCCTCAGACAATCTCTGACAGAGGCACAGATCGGGAAGCTGGGGCCATAAATGAGCAGTATAGTAAGTTCTTAGCACAGTAAGTTCAACGCTTCAGGCCTTCAAGGGGTCTCTGAACACTACCCATGATCTCACAACAGAAAAGTAGGGCACAGGGGTGGGAATCACTTATTTCTGGATTTAAATGACAATAATTTTCCTACTTTTGAACTTCAAGAGCAGCTCATTTTTTCCAACATAGCTATAGAAAAGTTTTAGCCACCCCAGGGGTAACCCACCATCTCGAGTCAATCACTTTATACATATTTGGGGTGGATCATCACTCTCCTTTCTGCAAAGGTACAAACACTTTCCAGGGTATGTAAGCAGCAATGTTTTATCACTCTATGACTATGCCTAACAAGACATCAAATCCCAAAAGAAACAACTTGTTTGATGTTGAATGAGCCAACGCCAGAGAGGTTTATAGCTATGACTTACACTGACAGAAGACTGGACAAAGCACTGTATTGGAACAGACAAAGTCAACTAAAAAGCCTCTGTTACAAGATGCATCAGGCCCGTCAGGTGAACTTTAAAGCTGTCCAAAACAGCGAACGTGAGCTATACATTTAAACAATTTCCAAACACATCATACTGGCTGCCTACAACCAACCACCTCATGAGGCAACCACAGTGGAAACAGCAGTGACTCAAGGCAGCTGGCTCTTGCTGGACAGGTCGTGAGAAAATGCAAAACTCACCCTCAACTTGTCCACGTTAAGAAAATCCCATCATCTGGCATATTTTATTTCTACTTCCCAGCTACCCTGCTTGCTTTGGCTTGGTGGACACAACAACCCTAGATTTTGACCAGGGACTTTTAAAAAGGTCTGAGAAGTATCTAAAGGGAAGGGACTCTCTGCAGCCTGGAATGGAGCCCAAGACCATATGAAAAATCTGGTTGGAGATTCAGTGGGATCCTGCCCACTAGAGCAAGAGAGAAGGAATCACAGGAAGGATGTCTTCTGAAAAAAAAATCTTACTGCTATGTGGGCTGAATCCTAGTTTTAGGGAGGAGGAGAGCTGCTGATAGGGATTATTTTCCCAGCTTTACCAAGGTTTTCTTTTGTCTGATGTGAGGCAAAACAATTTTTTTTGCCTCCATTTCCTTCTCTCAAAAAGTATGCAATCTGTTTGTCAGTGGTGGAGAGGATGTCAGAAGGGAGTATTTTTAGCATCATTACGTGAAAAGTTATTTTAATGAATGGTAATCTTCTCTCAATTATAATCCCCAAATATAAGATCGGATCAGTCTTTTATGTCATCTGAAATGGGGTTTGATCATACTGACAAGGCTGCTGATTAAAAGGGGGAAGTTAAAGCAGGAAGGAATGTACTGAAATAGCTTCCTTTCTTGAAATGTAGCAGCCACCTCCCAAAGCTGCCAAGATGCAAATGATGCTTCAGATGAAGACTCACTATTTCCTTTCCCCTTTCCAGTGCTTTTGTTCCTTTGGCTAGGACGATGGGGAACAACTACATCCAAAGTCTGTACTACTGCTGCTCTTGGACTAGCCAAAGGATGACCGTTCCTTCACCAGGGAAATGCCTATGCCTAGGCTGTGTATCTGGGTCGGTCCTACTCCTGGCTGGATCCTACAATGCTGGAATCTTGGGCTTGTATTACTCCAGCACCATCTGGTTGATGAACTAGGATTTTGATATATTGTGGGAGGAGGTATCTGCTGAACATACATGCTGAAAGTGTCCATCTCTCCCGTCAGGTTGATTCTCTCCACTAGACTTGCATCCACTTTTTCTTTGAGTTTCTCTTCCAACTGTTAGGAAACAGAACAAGCAACAGAAAGATCAGATTTCTTACTTGAAACGACCATTCTTGAAAACTTATGTCCTGGAAAAGTCATCTTTTGAAAACTTAACCTGTGCCCAGACTATATCCAAAACTCAGCCAGTGAACACTGGAGATCTCTCCTTGTTGGACGCCTTAAACCTGCCAGGATGGCCTATGGTGGCACCGCGTCCCCAAAGAAGTAAACCTCCAAGGTCATTTATGTAACTCTAGTATGACATGCTAATGTACTAGCTTAACACTGTGGCACCTGTCCTGCTAATAAAGATGTTTTTCAACACCCTGCCTGTGCCCAAACTGCAAAGGAAGAGGATTGCCAGTTCTAGTGGTGGAGAGGCCTTGATACAGCCAAACATCACAGCTCATCTACTAACCTATGGCATTTTGAAAGCACCTGCATGTAACAAACACTGGGGCTGCAAAGCGTATCAGCATAAATACCACATCGCTCTACCTTGCCCCAGTGTTTTACACAAGCACTTTCCCAAACCTATTTTGAATTACTGTTTTTCTTGGTTTTACAAGAGGGTGATCATGAACCACAAGGAGTATATGTTTTAAATTTGGTCCCCAATGCAAAACAAATTATGTAAAAAGTATAAAAGGACTGAATCCAAAACTGATGCTGCAAGGCAGTATTACAAGCAAATGACTTTTCTCAGGTAGAAACAGCAAAATCAATACTTTTTTTTCTTTGAAATACAGATTTAACAGTGTAGAGCTCAATAACCACCAGGATGCACGTGGATCAGACAGTACTCTGGATATTTTAGTACTTCTGACTCTTTAAGTCTCCACAGCAGGCTAACCCTGAAGTGGGAGCAGCACAGTATCTCCTGACAGAAGAGGGGCTGCTGGTGCGTGCCATCCCAGAAGTGCTGTAGGGGAAAGCTCACCTGCTGGGTGGTTGCCAAGCAGTACTCTGCAGTACTTAGGATGCTGCAGATGAGGCAGAGTTCTTCTAAAGTGAACTTTGCCACTTCAGAGCCTTCCTTTTCTTTCAGCAAACTGGTGATGGTGAGCCCACCACTGCTGCTAGTTGTCCTGGATAAAAAATAAGACAAAACCTGTAAAGCTTTCAGGTGTACAGACACACACACTGCAAAATTACTACTAGATTTCAGTGCCATATAAAGCCCTTGTGACCATAAAGTCCAAAGCAAAACAGGTCAGTGACATTCTACAGCAACTCAAAACAGCTATTTTGGTTAAGGAGTATCTTTTAGAAAGCCAAACAGAACTTTGTATTAAGGCTTCAGGTAAAGGGCAATTCACTCATTCACAACACGGAAGATCAGAATGCAAGTGGAATACAGCTCTCCCCAGCTAGCTTCACCTTCACTGCCAATTACTCAAAATCTAATTAAAGATTACAGAAAAATCTCAGTAACTATCAGGCAGCTTGTCATATTTATCTCCTCAGTACTAAACAGATGTCAGCATGCATTTGAGACTGTGGTAACCTGTTTTAAAAACTGATGATATCAACACAATATATTATAGAAAATGTGGCGTCTTTCCACTGTCTTCCAGTGATTAACAGCCATGTATCAACAAAGAAAGACTGAAACAGTTTAGAGTCAGGAAATTCCCTACCTCTCAACTCTTTATAATCTAAATCCATTAAAAAAAAAAATAGGACAGTGATATTTATCTTGGACAGTAAAAATGGAGCACACAAAAAAACGCGTATAAAGAATGCAACTGAGGTCTGATGGAGAATGCACATTAAATTTATCTTTCCACTTGTCTGGATGTAACCCTCTCCCCTTCCATCTGTAAAAGATTTTACTGGTTTCAGAAACTCATTCTGCTGCTCCCAGGTTCACAGGAAAGACAAACTGAAGATGAGAAATAGCATACAAAATTATCTGTAGTAAAGGTTGGCAGTACCTCAAGGAGCTCCTTTAGCCTGTATACTTATCCATACTGGTGTAAACACCTAACAATTTCCTGTATTTTCACTGGATTTACATCTATGTATTTTATTCATACATGTATAAATTGTGACAGAGCAGAGGAAGTTACAGGTAACTATCACAGAAATAAGCCACTTTCATTAGAAATTATTATATGTATAATGTTGAGCTAAGGCAGTGAAGAATCACAGTATGAATTGGTTACCCAAGCAGCAAGTTAAGCACAATTCTGAAAGCAAAACTCACTTAGGCAGGTTTCCAGACAGAATTTTCCAGGCATATTCCCGAAGGTACTTCTGGAATATGGTGGTCAGGGCTATCATGGGCTCGCCTGTGCTGAGCTGGGAGCACTGCACCATGCACTTCTTGTAGTACACAAAGAGGTCGGCACAGCTGGGCAAGACAGCTCCTCCTTCATCCACATTGGGCTTGGGGGGACCTTGAGCCTTGAAGTCAGCCACAAACCTGTCGATCAGTTCACCGAGATTTCTGACGGGGGGGAACAATAGAAAGATATTTTAATATGATGGGAGAGGAAACAAAGGGAAGATAGAGAATAATGCTTAAAAGCAGATGCCCTGTCTTGTGACACCAGCAAACACATTTTGATTCTAGCAGTTGGGTATTCCAGCCCTTTCTTATCTCCACCCTCTCAGCACAAAGCTCATACAATAACGTGGACTGGACTGATGAGTAACAACCTTTTGTACTCAAGAGTTATAGTGGCAGCTTCAATCTGTTCTCCAGCCACATATAAAAGCTCACAAGTCTGCCAGGACTGGGTTCAGCACATCTGATGCAAGTGCACAAAGCGTATGCTCAAGTTTCACTCCTGGCACCAGCAAAAGTAACAGTTGGGCTTCCCATATCAGCGGCCTCCGGAGCAGACCTCAGGGAATACGGCTTTTAAAGGGATGTGCTCAAAATGGTGTGCCATTTGCCATTTCTTGGTCCCATTTGGATACCACCTGGTTTTGCACAACTTCACACATCCTTTAAAGAAGTTTTATTTAGCACGAGCACAAAGTGCACTTCCTACTTAAACTCTTTAAAAGCACAAAAAGCCCTCCTATTGTCTCCAGTGATTCATTATAACCTGGTCCCTACTCAAACTTTTTGGTCTTTAGGCAACAATAAACTTCACTCCATCGTTTCATCATGACAAAAAGGCTTTTTAGCATGGCAGAGGGCCAGAACCATCAATACAGAACCAAAGAAGTCTTCTGATCTTGGGGAATTCCGCTGGTCCTACTCCTCCAGAGACAGCATATCCGTGTCAGGAACCAAGACCAGCTCCCCTGACACCAGAGCTCAACTAAGTGGAGTAACCTTTGCCAGATGAACTAAATTACAGCAATAAACCTCCTCCCCCAGACACACAAATATACACAACCTCCTACAAGGAAATTTGGCTTTTGAGGAATATATAGACATTTCAGATGAGAATGGCACTCTGCTGACCAAAAGGAGTTGTGAGATTCCTGTATTTTATATCCCATCTCCATTACGGTCTTGGCTTCATTTCCCCAGCTCTCCCCTTCGACTGCACAGCCTTCACCCCTCTCACTGCTGTGAGTGCAACTAACGGCTGATCCAGGGTATGTAAGTAGAAAGCCAAATCCTCAGAAGGATAATGGGAGAAAATTCATTACTTTATAGTTAATATATTATCATTATTTTTCAGGAACAGACTCAACTAACAGAATTGCAATGCTGTCCCCAGAAGTGAAAACTCTTCTTTAAAAGCCTGTGAAAGAGTTTCAACTGGAAGTGTTCTCCTAGTCTTAAGCCAGCTCATAGGGCACTCAGCACAACACAAGAGTTCCATGCAGAGACTAGGTCAGGGTTTCCTGGGATGGGCACAGCATTACCACCAGCACCAGCAGCACAGCAGCTGAGACTCTTCAGCACATTTTCACTTACCTCTGCCAATGAAAGGGGAAAAAACTTGCCAACAATGAAAACTTTTCCCCAGTTTCTGTCCCTTCTTTCTTTTCGTCTTCTAAAGGAGAAAACCCACTCCAAAGAACCCACAACACTGCACCAGTAGAAAAGGTGACCTGTCTCTTCCCTGATAAACAGAGATTGCTGCATCAAAGCAGATGAGCTCCTACCATGGGTGATCCACCATGTGCTTGCAATAACAGGGCTTTAAATCATGAAGCAAGGCTCTTTGGCTTAAGCCAGCCTCACAGGCTATTGCAAAGACAAGTAGCCCCTTTATTCATGCTTATTGCTTGCTGCTTTAAGTACTTTACATACCTCTGATTCTACAGATACACGCAGTTCCTCGGCTTTGTTACAAGAACCATAAAAACATCAGGCTGTTCAACCGATGTGATAAATCTCTACATTGGCACCAGCAATTGAACGCTGAACCAAAGCATTGATTGTATTTGACCACAGTGAAGCAAAATAGACCTCCCCCCCGTGGCTGTAGGAGAGCCAAACAGATGGCTTCTGCAGGAGGGCTCACATGTGCTGCAAGCTGCAACATTCCTTCAGGTTCCCAAGTAAAGCAGACATAGCTTGCTCCTTGTCAAAAGTCCCACTAAAGTAAACAGCTGCATTTCCACCTCTGCATCTGCACTTTGCTCCATCTGTGCAACAAAGTGGAGCTTTCTTAGCATTCACCAGCCGTTTTTTTCCTTCATTCTCTCAGTCTCAAGACACAGTCAGGAATGTCAATGGCTTTTGGTTTTTTATGCTTACTCCACATGTTCTCCTTTTCTCTGAGGCAAAGTGAAATGTTATCTACATTTTTCTGGTCCCCCAAGGTCTTCTCAACCGGGATGCAGGAGCAAATGCAGCTGTCATAGAATCACAGAATGGTTTGGGTTGGAAAGCACCTTAAGATTACCTAGTTCCAACCCCCCTGCATGGGCAGGGACACCTTCCGCTAGACTAAGTTGCTCAAAGCCCCATCCAACGTGGCCCTGAACACATCCAGGGACGTTGCTGTGAGAACAGCGCTGAAGCTTCATGCTCATTTTGATCCTAACCTGGACAAACTGCCTGTCAAAGGCAGGCTATGAGGACTGTTCTTATTTCAGCATGGGCTTGATACAAGCAAAACATCAGGCTGCTGTGCACTAAGGGAACTAATATGTTACTAATGCACACCTCAGTTGATGTCAATCAAACTTTCACATTAGTCTCAGCTGGCCCAATGCAATATAAAGGCTAACAACCTTTGTGTGGTACAATGGGAGCAGAAAGAATTAGGCACGAAAAGCTACCGGGAGATGAAACATGAAGAAGGCAGGAAAGCTATAGAAAATGAACATTTTCTCTGTAGACTCTGCAAAAAAGCTCCAAGAAAATTCTCAGGTACTGCAGCTGTGGTATTTCCTAATAGTAGTGTATTTATGGGGAGCAAGAACTCACCAAATCTAACAATGAGAAAATATGAAACTAAATCCAGTAAAGGGAGTTTTATTCTGGTTCTTGAATCCATTCATTTCTATATTCTTCTTACTCTTTTCTTTCACTCAGGCTATTCAGTGTTTTTCCGTGTATCTGGAAATCACAAGAGGAACTATGCAACTCCTCAGCAGCATGAGAGAATAACATGGTGCTTAGTCAGCTGGTCTGTTCAGTGATGTGACCAGCTAGTATCTGCTTAGCATTGGGGAAGGGCAATGGCATTGAGACATCTGGACCACTTGTAGGATAATTTCCACGGACTGGGCATTTTGGAAGCCCCTTTCCTCATGAGGCCGAACACACAACAGAGAGAAAGTGCCAGTTTTCCAAACAATCCGAATGCACACGTACATATTAGCACACTTAACCATGGCTCTGCATACTCTCAGCACTGCAGACCTGACAGAGCTCTTCCTTCACTGCAGAACAGCTTAGCTCACATATGTATGCTCCTGTTGCTCCTACAGACCACAAAGAAGAGCTAAAGATACCTATCCCAAAGGGGCAGAAATGAAATCTGCTTCGCTGCTAAGAAATCTGATATTTACACTGCAGCTAAGAGTGGAGAGTAGGATCTTTAAAGTCCTTCTTTCAGGTGTTTCCTCTTAAATTGCTACAGATTTGGCACTGTGTTTCTTTAAATAGGTATGGAAACAATTTTTCAGGAGAAAAGGTCCAGGCCGCATTCTGCCACAGACTTAAGGCAATGATGAACACAACTGTCACGCTATTCTTGCTATTTAGAGCCCAAACATAATTATCTAAGAAATCCTCATTTTCAGACATCAGCAACAGATTCCTCAAAAGTTCAATCAAAGGGGGAAGAGAGAAAATCATAAAGGAAAGCAATTTCTGGCAGACAGGGGCAGCATGGGGAATACTGTGGCAGTATTTCTTTGAACTCCTCACAGCCTGTGGCTATAAAGCTAATATAAACCATCTCATGATTGTAAAGGAAAAGGGAAAAAAAAAGGCAACTGAAAGGGCTAGGAGCACAGTGGGGTAGAATTACCAAAACGGGGATTAAAATGGCCCCCAGTGAGAAGGGAAGAAACATTCAAACAAGTTAGTGCTCAGTTGGCAGAGGGCGGGGGGGGAAATACCTGTTTCCCTTTGTTACACTGCAGAGCGGAACCTAAACCCAGCATGACAGACCATTGTGCAAGGTTTATTTACTTGTTTAATTTAAAGCATAAAAGGCTGATGGGACATGGCAAAGCTTTTTCAAGTGGCTGCCTTGGAGTTTGGGCAAAGTCAGGGCACTACAAGCCTCAAGTTATGCACTCTCTCATGTTTTAGTCCTTGGAAGCTAGAAGGGCATAGAAGACAGATGAGTTACATAAGGCAGGTACCTCTTTCTCCTTTCCAGCCACTAACCTGCACTAAAAGACTGAATTGAACATTTTTCAACTACCTCCTCTCCCAGTTGGCACTGTGCTTGTTAGAGAGATGTTATATAAACCCTGGTGTGAATCAAGGTGGACAAGAAAGTGTGGTGAGAGTTCTAAAAACTTCTTGGAACTCTAAGCTGAAAGCTCCTTTCATTCAAGTTATTTTGCTGCAAGTCAAAGAGTAAAATGAAGAAGGGTTCCAGGGATTAAAGCCCTTGACGAAGTCCCAATCTGTGAGCAATGATAATGTTATCTTACAGCCAAGCTCATCTACAGCAGCTTTCATCTGAGGATCTCAAATAACTTATTTGTACAAAGCAAATCTTGAAAGTCCTCTGCCAGGAAGCCACATGTGTATTTTAAAGAAAAAGCAAACCTACTATTTGTGGAAGACATGAGATGAAAGAAAGGCATACGTCTGCAGTGGGAATTGCAGAGGCAACAGAAGTAATTTCACAAACACTAAGCCAGTGGCAGTGGGTATCATTCCTGCAGGCCTTTGCAATTCCAGATGAAACCAACATCCACTGCCCTGTGACCACTCACTTTTGCCCAAGCAAAGGTCCCACTCATTCTAACTTTCTTGAACCATGATTACCACTCCTGAAGAAATTAGAAAGCAGGCTTTCAAGAAATTAATTTTCTACAGCTTGAGTACAGAATCTAGTGCAATCCAGCTGTAATGCACTTTCAAACTCAAACAAACCCAAAAGTCCATGCTGGTTACTCACTTGTCCTGGGACTCAATATACACGTACAGGTGAGGCTCAAAGCACTTGGAAACAATGCCATGGAAAGGGTTGTCAGGGACCTTTGGCTTCTTTGGCTGTAAGAAAACATTTACAGTATTGGTTTCAAATGTGCCCTGTAAGACCCAGAAGAAACAGCAATGCAACAGCACAGAAGGATCTAAGTCTTCAGAAATATTACAACACAAATTTGCTGTCAAATAATCAAAGGCCTGTAACTGACAGTATATACAGGGTCCACATGTCCAAGTCTTCCCTTCCTCTTGCAGAGCTGCTAGTATTCCAAGGAATTATCTTTTCACTTGCAAGATATTCTTACCCTTACAGAAAAGGCTGCTCCATGCTAACAGGTTTCAGTAGAAGAATCTTAACGCAGTTTGTAAATAAAACCTCGCTGAACCCTTTGAACAGCACTAAGATTCCACTAGTCACCTCTGAAATGAAATGCAGCACTTATTTAGAAGAAAATTGAAAAATCACTACATTTTAGAACATTAAATGAGAATAACACAAAGTTACAGACTTCATCTGGTTGTTTTTATTTAGATAAACAGCACAAATTACTGGAGGAGCTGGAATTATATAGGCAACAATTCAGGAATGCTTTCACTGTGAAGCATGTTTCTGGGGATGCAAAGACTTGTATTTTAAAGTCACATTTAGAGCATTAAGCACATACCACTTGGGAGTCATACGGTTTACTCTCATTTTAGCTTAGTACTGCACTCCTCACAGTGGCCAAGCTCATCGCACTGAAGCCACTGGGACTACTGCTTACATCTCTGCATGTCCAAGTACCAGACTGGGCAGAGCTTTTAAGTTCATTTTTGCCCTACAGCTACATTTTTATTATTGTTTTTTACTCATAGACAATCTTTCCTGATGCTCTCTGGCAAGCTGACAAGTTTTCCCTGTCTGCAAAGAGGGCTGCAGCGACTCTGGAATGGAATTCTTGCCTCTCTCCGTAAAAAGCCAGGATCTTCAAGCCAATGAAGATGAATTTTTCCAATTGATTTTTTTTTCTTTTAAGCATAAGAAGAGAAAAACAAGAGACCCTGAAGGACATACTTTCCTAAATGCCAGAGGAGCTGGCACTAAGTCTTTTGCAGAATGACTAGGTAAGCATTGCTCAGAAATAATTAAGACTCAAAGACACAATGAATACTAACATATGGCTGCAAACTTCAAGTAAGCAAATGGTTTTATGAAGACCAGACCACCTCTGTAAGACTGGTTTCATTAACCTTCTCACTGAAAGCATGACTGGAGAATATAAGTTTTTACAGCTTTGGTAGACAGCCACTACCCAACATTCTGCACCCCAACCCTTCTGCCAGGGCCTGCCCATTTCTGCTAGATGCACATGCTCAATGGAGCAGGACGAAAACAATAGGTGGCAACTGCAGCAACTTTCCAGTGGCCAAGCCTCCAGGATGGCAGCACCAACACAAGGTTGCAGATTCACAATGTTTCTGATTTACCAGGCTGGAAGAGCCAGCTCCTAATGCAGCACTGGTTTTCTCTGTGTGTGCGTGTGTGTCTTTGCACCATGCTGCTCCCAGCACGTCTGGTGAAGAGAATACTAAACCTTTTAACAGTAGCAGTGAAGCTGTATTTCGGAGTGTGCAATCCTGTCCAAAAGCTGCAGATGTTTAAGCTATTTCCTCCTTGAGTTTGATGGAAATAATAAAAGGTTACTGTTGTCACAGTAAGGAGGTCTGCAGCTGGCCCAGTTTCCTTTCATTACTATCCAAAGTAAACAGATTAAATTGAACTGCTAGGATTACTAAAAGAGGTTCTTTTTAAACATGGATTCCCCCCAAAAAATTCTTGTGCTCCCTTTTACACTCCCAAGTGTCTTGAATTCTCAGGCCTAGTGTCTTGCAAGAACTCTACCACTCAAGTTATCCATCTTCAGCTCTTCCTGTTCATTCTCTTTTTCAGCTAGTGACAGCAGGAGACCTCCAACATGAACTCACCAGCACTAACCACCAGCTGTTAGTGCTTTGAAACTGAAGTATCAGAGCCTACAGGGCTCCCATTTGGCAGAGTCCAGGACTGTGTTGTGAGCGTTAACACAGGGTGTACCCAGAAAGAGAGGGTAACCTCCCCACAAATGGCATTTCAAGGCATAGCTCATGGATGGCTTCATATCACCCCGCCCACGTACAGGAAGCAGGGCAGCCTCTTTCTCAGAAGTACTTCTGGCCAAGGTAGTACACTCTACTATTCAAGATAACCAGCTCTAAGCAGCTTAATTAGTGCAATTATCTCTTCATGTGTCTTCAAGCACCAGTGACTTCTCCAAAGATGTCACACTGCACGTCAGAGCCAACCTTCTCCCAGCCATTACAGACAGTGGAAAGCAAACTCTTCACAAAGAACACACGACACACCTGCCTCCCTGAGTTCCCAATCTCTGTCTTCCACATCACTGATAACTGCCCAAGTTGTATTTTAATGGAAAGAGCAACACTTTTCTCCATCATTGTGTTTCAGGACTTGGGCTGGGGTGGAAGGCACAGAGCTGCCCCGCTCACCTGAAAATCTGGAGGGGATGCAGTGCGCTAAACTGCACTGGCGGAGAGCTACCACCCCCCAGATCTCCCCAGTGGCATGGAGCTCGGTAGGTCCCGGGGCCCTGGACATCCATCAGGATACCACCTGCAAATGGCCCATTTACAGGGCTGTAAACTCACCGAACAGGGAGAGGGTACCTGCCTTGAGCAACTTACAGCTGAATACTTGAAAAATGTTGATCTCGTGAGTAAAAATATGGGGCTTAGAAGCTTTGATATTGGTGCCAATTAAAACAATTGCGTTTACTATTCACTCCTCTAATGTTTGCAGAGGGCTTTGGAAACCCAGTGCTTTTACAAGTGCTTAGATGTTGCCTGCTTTGCAGAGGTAATAGATGAAAAGCACTGTAGAGATAAAAATCCCAGAAGTAATATATCTAGAGTGAAAATCTAAAACTGATACTTGAAAGTTCAGTGAGTTGCCTGGTGACTCCAGGCTCAGTTTGCCTGGCTTACAAGGCAAAACATGAATTGCAACTGTTTGTAGTGGGAGCTTCTTCTGGGATCTGACAACCCAACTCTACTAGTTCATCTTTCTTTGACAGGAATCCTTAGTTACATGTGAGCCACTGCTGTATGGCCTAGAACAGAATCCAACTCACTCCCATGTGGCAGATTGTCTCCGCACTATTAACTGAAATAAAGATTGCTTTGGTTTCAGTGAAGTGAGCCAGAGTAAACCATGGGTGTACTGGGAGTCTGTGCTGCCCAGAGGATCAAAACTGCACTAAATTAATTGCTGTGAAAACAAACCTTTCAAATCTATGCGATGGGAAAAGCTTAGGCACCATTAGAGATTTTGACACAGAGACTGCCTCACTGACAACTGGAGAACTACAAAGACTTACTTTGTCCATATCATTCTTCTCGATCACAATCTCATCTGTCTCTGTCCCAGTTTCATCCTCCAGAAACGGGTTGGTGGAGGGAGGTGGCACTTCTGGCTTCTTCTGTTAAAAAAGAAGAAGCTCCTTAGAGAACAGCCTGGTTTGCTTTACTTCAAAGCACTGTACAAGAGTTTGTCTTTTCCAAACACAGAGGTGACTGCAGAGTGCCAGGCAGTGCCTCTTCATCAAGGTTACAGCACACTCCCTCCTACTACAGGGCAGGAGTCTGGCTCCTCTCCACTGCTCCACCAGCACATTCATCTTCAGCACCATATTACATCCTGCACTTCTTGCACCCACTGTCAGTGAGTCAAAGCCTCCAGGCACATCAGAAAGGAGCACAGAGAATTTTCTTTTATTGCAAACTACACATTCTCCTCCTGTTTTGCTCAGTTGTAACAGCCTCTGTGCCTACCTTCTCCAAAGGGATAACAACCCAGCGAAGCCAATTTAATCAAAGCTGCAGATTCTATACGAAATTTGTCAGAAAAATAAAGCCATATTCCTGAGAGATCTAAATTCAGCCAGGAGGAAAACCTTACAGGACTTCCTTTTTTAATTAGTGGCACCTACTGATCCACAGCAAATTACAAGTGGTTTCAGCAGGCTTGCCTCATAGGCTGAATTATCACATCCAAGTAGGCTTCAAGACACCAGCTGGTCAGAGAAGCCAACCTCAAACCAGCAGCTTCTGAGCCACACATGGACTCTGTGCTCCTAGGGCACTTGGTTGGCAGAGCTCTTGGCTGAGATTTCAGGCAGAAAAAGCACAGAGATGGTCCCAGAAATATTCACTGAGCTGTTCCTTTTGGCTCTGACTTTACAATCTACCAAGTAAGACATTGAAAACTAGAAACCACTAATGCCCCTGCAAGTAAGACTAACCCAACAGACAACACGGGATCGAAAGTTGGTACCGTGTGGTCAGTGTGTGGTAGCTAGAAATGAAGACAAGAGGGAATTTTCAGTTATGATGTGCCATCACCATGCAGAGAACAAACATTATAACGCAGTCACTATGTCATTATTATTTTGTGGTTCTCGCTGGCAGTGTTGCTTCAGTTGCAAACAGCACAGGGCCCAGGAGAACTAAAAAAGTACACAAACAGCCTCCTTTCTCCTCCTTCTGAGCCCTGTGCCATCCTTTCTGCCACAGTCAATATCAAGAATCACTTTCCCAACTACAAGCCATTGAGCACATAACACTAAACACCCTTAACCTGACAGTGCAAGAGGAGGCTGCCCGTGACACCTTTTGCAGTCACTCATTACCATAGCTATGTGTGAGAGGGATTCTTTCTCCTAAAGATGCTGCCGAGTAAAGGCCTGCTCTTCAGAAATCCCCTTACCACTGTTCCATCAGCCAGGGTGCAACCTGAGAAGCGTTTAGCCAGAAGTCCTTCAAAGTTGGTTGTCCTCTGAATTGCAAACAAAAGCAATTTCACCTCAATCTCCTTTGCTCTTGTGCGCATTATCTTAGCAAGCTCTGTCCTGAAAGAGGGGGGAGGGGGAAATAGAAAAAACAAATGTGGTTTTCTATAGAGAAAGATCTGAAATCTAACACTGTAATTCAGTCTATTCCCTAGACAGACTTCCATCACAGACAAAGTCAAGCTAATTCCTAAGATGCTCTCTAACATAAAGCTGCTTTACAGATCACACTTCAAACATAACCACAATTGTTTAGGGCTTTGTGGGTAACAGGACCCCATCTTCTAACAGCCAGCACCCCACTGCAGCCAGGAAAGCCTGCAGGATCAAACCTTGTGAAGTGCAGTGTCCCTGACTGGGGTCCCAGAACAATGGCAATGGTGCTACTCGGACTCCAGCTGGTACCTTCCACTGGTCCCGTTTCTGGCTGGCAAAAAGCATGGTCTGAGGCAGTCAGCTTCACTTGGTCTCTAATGTTACTGATTTTTACCTGTTACATTGAAAATGGATTCCCACATTATTTCAATCTCAACAGTACATAAAGTTTTAGTGATGCTTCTCAGGGTTTTCACTCTTCACTTGCTCTTAATCATGAAGAATTCTACATAGATATTTGAAGACTGCCTTTGGAGTCCTATGGATAAATGCTCAATTTGGCGGAAGACAAGCCAACCCGTTGTTTTAAGGAAGGTGACTGCTGGGAGGCATTCTAAGGTCCCCAGACACTCACCTCGTGACATGGCAGAACTCCACAGCAATGCGTTCTGTCATGCACCAGTCCGGGGGAAACATCCGCCCGTACTTCTCCTCATAGTCCACCAGCTGACGCTTTATCCAAGCATAGCGCCTGTCGATTTTATCCAGCCAGGCCACCTGAGTAAGACAGATAACATCATCCTTAAACAGCAGCAGCCTGACTGCTTAACTGTGCTGCTGTATTTTCACAGAGCAGCTTATATTATTGATCCAAGCTAACCTGACTGCTATTAATAATTCTTCGAATCCTTCAAGATGCATTAGGGGAAGTTCAGACTGGATATTAGGAAAAATTTCTTCCCTGAAAGAGTTGTCAAGCACTGCAACGGGCTGCTCAGGGAAGTGGTGGAGTCACCATCCCTAGGGGTCTTTAAAAGACGTGTAGATGCAGCACTTAGGGACCTGGTTTAGTGGTGGACTTGATGGTGCTTGGTTAACAGTTAGACTCGATGGTTTTAAAGGTCTTTTCCAACCTAAATTATTCTACGATTCGAAGTGCTTAAACACATGCCAGACTGAAAACTGTACCTTCTGAGAATTAAGACAGCAAGTCCTGTAGAAAATGAGGATAACTGTACTCCTAAATCATGTAGGTACTATTGAAAACTCAATCCATAAATAATTCATTACATCCCACCCTCCTGCTTCGCAGAAAGAGAGGTTAAAGTCAACAGTGGGATGAGAATGCAGGAACTCCTGCATGTTTACATTCAGCTGGGCTGTGGACACACAAACTTCTACAAGAATCCTTACAACGAACAGGATGGGATTTTTTTCCCCCTCAGTATTAGTGCTTTCTGGTCAAAGAGGTGCAAGATTAATGAAAAAAGAAACTTTGATGGAAAAATGCTATTTAAAATGAAGCATTTCAGCTTTTTTCTCCCTCTTTGTCACAAACTCAAAATTTTTAAATTCTAAAACACGTTGACTCAGGGTTGGTTTTGTGGTTGGTCTTTTGGTATTTTTTCAAATTCAAGATGATTATGCTCAATTTTTTAAAAGCTGTTAGCAACAGGACAGGAAGTTTAAAAATTAGCTGCAAAGATTAATCCACTTCTGGAAAACCCTTCCCCCCTTTTTAGGCATTTTGCTTGTTTGGGTTTTTTTTGCTTGTTTGAGGGGAAGTCTTGCTGTTTTTCAAAGCTTTCAGGTCTGCAACTTTCAGAGCTTAATTTTTCACCCCTTTACAGGGCAGAAATTTTGAAAGTTTATCTAACTTCAATTTATTTATTACTATATGAGGGGGAAACATTTCAGTGCTGATACATGAAAGTGAGGTCTAAGGTGGGAAGAAGTCATCGTGGGAGAGATGACACTGACTCCCAACTCATCAGGCAGTTCATATCACACCCACACATCTCTGCTCCTGAGCCCTCAGGTTAGAAACATTTCACCACAGGATCCTGTGGAAACGTGACCTCCGTGAATGCCAGCAAAATGTGAAATCCAAATGTAGCTTGCTAAGCTTCCCAAGCTTCCCTTACATCTTGGTTTTCCTGGAAAAGAACCAGATACTCTGAGAGGTGTTGTTTAATAAATTTCTTGATGATTTCCTGTTTGATTCTGGGATCCAGGACGTTGGCAACTAGACACGCATCACGTAGGACATTGCTTGGTCCGCCAGGCCTCTATCAAAATAAACAGGAACAAATGATTCAAGGTGAAATAGCTGAATGGGAGATTGTAAACTGCACCTCAGGTTATCCTGCAGTATTCAGCTTATCTTGTTTTTACCCTTTCCCATTATTCTTCTCTCCTTGATGCTTCTGCTGCTACTCTTTATTATCGCACAGGCATCTTTCTGTTGGATGAAAACTGAGCTGCTTCCATTTCGCTGGCCATAAAGTTGTTCTACAGCTCAGCAGCCAGGAAGCTCCTTACCACAGAAAAGCTGCCAGCTCCATCTACAGAAAGAACTGTTATCCAATCACTTCTGCAAAGCCTTCCATCAGCCTAGATACTCCGGGGAACAGCTAAGAGAAGTGGCTGACAAGTGGGAAAAGCAAACCGCTTTTCTGCAAACCTGAACACCAAATTAATGGGAGAAGAAAGCAGTCTACAGATGATCAATTTGCAACACAAAGTAGCATCTGCTGGTCTGTAGTGGCACAAACCACGATGTTAGTGGAGAATCAGAAAAAAAGCTCTTTTGATGCTGCTTCACGTGGACGCAGATTTGCCCTTTGTTAAGGATCTGTTCCAAATAGTTTCCACATTTCTGTACTTGTTAGTTTTATGAAGAAAGCAGCAGAGCTGGTACTTTGGAAGACAAAACTAGTGTTTTCCTTGAAGTAAATTTAAATTCACACCTACTCCCCATATTGTTTGGAAACATTTGTATGCATAATTTTGGGAAAGCACATTTGGTGCCTCAGCCTCAGCTGAGATTTGTATTTGTGCTGAGTAAACGAGAGACAAACTTGGTGGCAGCATGTCAACAAACAGCCTGTGCTTGGCTTTCTCTGAACACAACACAAACCTTTGTGTGTCTAACAAATAACCAGTAAGCTGGATGAGGTGCTGAGGGAACCCCACTCTGGTCTACAGGGCCAGACATGGTTTGCTTGGAGCATTCCTTGACTGGCTTGCAGACCTCACTGCAATAGATGTGCACAGTGTGACAGAGGAAGGGTGTCATTTCTCTCCCACATTCACTGGCACCCTACAGCTTAGGAGATTTGTTTGCTTTCTGAAACAACAACTGAAACAGAGAGATATCCAATCTAGATGTAAAATGATATTTAAACCAATGCAAATTACATTGTTTTCAGGAACACTTTTCAATGGGAGGAAGAGGGGAAGTGAGAGCTTTACCTTTGTTCCTTGAGAAGGAAAGGCTTCCTCAAAGTCAGCCAGGATCTGCTGCCCCAACTCATTCTGTGCTGCCTTCACCCTGATGAGGACAGAGAAAGCACAGGCTTTGTTGGTGGTACAACAACTTCCTTGTTTCATTGTCTGCAAACATTACTACAAAGCGGTCTGAAATGCTAACAGATACACAAAGGTTTTTAAGGGACAAAAGAAAAAGCATGCTAAAGAGAAAACACTTTTCACCCATCCATGAATGCCTGTATGTCAAAACTGGGAGAGCATTTCCTCCTTGAATGACACCAGGATGACAACTCCAGCTCTACCACATTGATCTCTGAGCTGTAGCAGAATGTTTTGTAGATGGTCTAACTCTGCTGCAATTTAGTATTTCAATAAGGGCCTGTTAATCAGCTAAGAAATCAGTAGGGTTCCTTTAATGTCAGCGTGACCGATCCATCTTTTCATTCGTGTACGTTGACCACATTTCAACAAAAGCATGTTTCTAACACATAAATAGCTTCATAATATCTCAAGCTTCATCATGAACCTTTCACAGTTCCAGGTGCACTGACCTACTTTTCAATGCATCCATATGAATACAGTTGGCTGCAGTTTTATCCTATAAATCCTCCACATCTTGAGCATAGAAAAGCAAAGGTACAAAATGGGTGAAAAAGTTCTGAACAAACCACAATCTTGCTCTTTATTTGGCTGAGAGAAGAAAGCTTCCCATTTCCAGAAATAAAAGTCAATACAGCTTAATTAATACTTCTAGGGAAATGGAAATGCCTACACATACTGGAAAAAGCCAAAACAAACAGTTAGGCACTTACGTCCCTCTCCAGCCCTTGAATTCTTCCATCACTTTTTATTATACTGGAAATGCTTTAAGGTCTAAATTGATCACTCAAAGCAGTGCATTTTTCCACTGAGATTGAGATGTTAGAATGAGTGGCTACATTTACTTTTGTCAAAATGTTTGCTCAGACTGTGGGGAGAAGACTTTGATTCTTTTTATTATGATTCCTCAGCCTTATCAAAGAATGAACTGCTTCTTTCATCTTCCCATTTGAGGTCCACTAGTAGTAAAACTCTTATAAGATGACCTCCAATGCTGGAGAACAGGCTGGATTCTTTAAAGGTGCCAAATGCAGAAAATTCTAGTCTGTTAAATGAAATATAACGTTAGATCTGTGATTTAACTGTATGCATGACCTGCCTTATTCAGGATTTATTTATGGGGATTTTGCTGGAAAAGCTTCCTGCCTGCAATGTCAAATGTAATTCTTATTTAAGCTCTCTGCTTCACAGGAATGTTTAGACACTCTTCTACTCTTTCAGGTATAGATGCCCAGTTAACACCTTCCTAACTGTGAAACGAAAGGGATTCACTAATATGTTGAAATAGAAGGAGTGGGAAATTTAAGCAGTGAGGAGGAACCCAGCCCAGCAGCCACAACTACAGCTATAATCCTGCCTATATTGTACAAGTAAGCACTGGTAATTCATGTAAGAAAGCATCACAGAATCAAACCCTTTGATCCTTAAGATAAAGGGGGGGAAAAAGAAGAAAAAAAGATGCTAAACATGGATTGAAAATGTTTACCTCTGAAACAATCAAGGAACAAGAGGTCTTTAGGGTTAGGAGGCACAGAAATTAATGAGTTTTTATAAACAACTGGACGTTATTAGCTGTTGCACTTCTTCCCTTATGCCTAACTACAGCAACCTTCCTATTTGACAACAGCTGCAGCGAGCACAGTGGAGGCACTGAGAAGAGCAGCAGCCAGATTCCTGAAGACTCAACAAATTTAAAAGAGGCACTGTCAAACAGTTTTAAAAGCCCTGTCCATGGGCTTTGTTGTTTTAGGCTCTGATTCAGGAAAGTACTTAAGGATAGTCTTAACAGGGATTCTCATATCCTTAAATTAAGAAACTTGTAGGAATGCCTTGAACTGGGATGTTAAAAATACATATTCTGTCTTGCTTAAAAATCTCTCAAAAGCAAATAGGGAAAATGAGTTTTAGCTTTTTTTCTTCCCTTAATATTTTGTAAAATGGGGATAGGATAGAGATGTTGAAGTAGCCAAAGTTTAGGTATGTGTGACCCTCACTGCTCCCCCAGTAATTATCCTTCTTTACAAAAGGCGCACACACAGATATACACAATTATTTTTCCCCATGAGCAAGTACCCAGAAACATGAAAACCTTCATGCCATCTCTTTCCAGAGCAACTGCTTTAGGCAGAGAACACAAGGCGGCACTTGCTTCTGCCACTATGGATTATTACTTCCCATAGAAAGCTGTAATGCTTTCAATAATTCAGAATAATCTTCATGCAATGGAAACTGCAGTGATAAAAGCCTCGACCCCATGGCTGGCTTCATTCACATTCACTGCTGAAGGACCAGTTCTGCACTGAGTGTGTTTAACCACTCGCAGGAAGTGAATTGCCTGCTAAAGCTCAGCAACCCCAGCAACTCTCGGCTGGTAACAGATTTAGGATCTCTTCCTAGAATATTCTTCCTGACTAGATTCCCCCCGCCAACGTGCAGGGGTATGGCAGCATCCATCCTGGTTTGCCGCAGCAGGGAATTGCCTTTTCCTGGGGTTGCTTGCATGTGCCAAAACCTTTGGTTACCCAAGTATTAGTGATTTCTGTTTCTCTGACTTTTGTTTTATTATTAGTGGCTTTTGTTCCCGATTTCCTCGCCTTTAAAAAAACGTAAAAACAAGAAAACCCACTGTTATGTTTCAAATGACATTAAATTACTAGAAACCACAATTCCTTTAGCCAAAGTTACCAGAAATCTTAAACTACGCCTGGCAGCTTGGTGAGATAAAAAGAGGCTGAGCTAGCCTGTTTTTCTGTGGCAAACTTATAATCATCTTTCTCCTAAATACTTTCCAGGCTTTTTTCCACTATCTGCTAGGCTTTCTTGACCACTTTCATGGGTGGGTTTGTACGTGCTAATTGTACACTCCCTCCACAGACAGAAAACATTAGAGGTTCGACAGCAAAGAAAATATTCCTATTTACTACAACAAACAACTTGCAATATGCCATATGAGAAATTGGTTGAGGAACATGATTAGGAAAATATTTACACTTGGATATGAATTGTGCCACTTTTACATCAATAGGATTCGCACAAGAAGCCAGTGTCTTGTTGGCTCTAATTAAGATTTCAGTCCAGGTTTCCAATTAATACTTAAAGAGGGATTTGGTTTGGTTATTTCCTAAGGGACACAACAGGTGAAAAACAACATTAAAAATACATCATTAGTTTTCACAGCATCTAGAAGCAGGAGCCCCAATTGAATACCCCATGACAAAGAGCACATCCAACACCCCTGAGCAGGCACTTTTCCTTCCCATGGTTTCCCATTCATATTTGGCTTCACTCCATTCATGCCAAGAAAGAGAGGCTCTTTTATTAAAGAAAGCAACAGAATCTGCTTGTTTAGCAGTGTATATAATAGACTTATTGTATATAATAGACTTTGGTTACTGTCACAGGTCTGTGCCAACATCTACTAAAGCATTTCTTGCCTTCACAAACATCCTAGAGGCTTCATTTGTACCATTAAACCAAATTCATGAGATATCAAACCCCAGCAATTTCACAGTCTAAAAATAGCCCTGCAAGAAGCCAGGCAAACTTCCTTTGATGTTTCATGAATCACGAAAGTATTTCCAAGCAAAGAGAGCGAAAACTCAGCTCTAAATTGGGCCCCAATACGTACACGTGTAGTCAAACTCCAAAGCAGATATTACTGTGCCATAGACCTCCCTGTAGTAATTTGCTGCCTGGATGTCAAAGCAGTAAAGAGAACCCAGCAACACCCTGGGTGCAGCTCTCCTTTCACCCCACAAGCAGCCGCTTCTATCGCTACCAGATGGTGCAACTCTCCCTGTGTAAACACTGGAAGGAAAACCCTGCCGAGGCAATTCTAAAAATAGGAGGAACAGACTTTCTTGAGCTTTTCAGATCCTTATCTTGAAGGGAGAATAAAACAAAAGAAGTTTCTCTCAATGTCCTTGCCAGTCTCTCTGGCGTGACTCAAAACCACTGTGCCTTTTAGCAGCAGCATGAATTGTTTGCTATAATTATCAACAGCTACAAAAGTATTAAATAATCATCCATCAGAAAACCAGCCAAAATTCTGGACTGGGGCTTAAATTATATTTGGTCTTAAAATGGCCAATGACAGCAGGTTTCTGCCTAAGGGTATTACCACTCGAAGAAAATGAAGCAAGCTATCTTTCTGAGCATGAGGTTGGAATAGACAACAGCCTAAATTCAGAAAAGCCCTGACATATGTTTATATTTCCTTGATGGTCATGTTTATTTAAGCAAATGCTTATGGCCAAATGCTTTGTTAAAACAAGGCCCCATCTCTCTCTCTAGAGTTAGGGTGAATTTTTCTTTTGCTCCATCTCATGGATTCCATCTGGGCTTTCTGGAAGAGGTATCTATACCATAAAGAAAGGCCAACAGATGAAAATATTACAAGCAAATCATTCAACCACTGTTTCTATCACTGAACAGCACAGACAGACAGCTGCTGTCTTAGCAAAAGGAGTTACCAAAACCATTAATTATTGTGCCTGGAAGGCTCCTTCAAGTACCTCTGTAACAGAGCAAAGTCATCTCGGGCATCAAGAGGATGGTGGTGATACATCTGCAACTTTCACACTTTTCATCTGTATCATTAAGAAGGTTTGTCCCTAACATTAAAAGGCTGTTTTCACCTCTGAGCTGTGCTCGCCACTACTACAGGCTGTTAAGCAAACATTATGTGTGTGATGTAAGAGAAATAAAGCCTGCTGTAAAGCAGGAAGAATAGGTTTTGGCCAGGGATAGCAATGGCAACCTAGAAAAGAGAGAGCCTCATTCCCTCGACATCCACCTGTCACCTCCCAAATGAAGCCAAGATCCTCAGAGATCAAACTACTGCTGAGAACTGTGGGCATGTGCTGCTGGAGCTCCATCAAAACTCACCAAATTTAAATGTGTGACTCCACATTAGAAAATCAAGACTACAAAAACTCAGCATAAATGTTTAGAGCAGTCAAGGGGTACTGCATGCAATTTTGGGAGGATTTGCTATAAGCCTCAAATCTCAATAGAACTGGGCAATGGGAGCAGGTTTTGGCAAAAGAAACTCAAGATGCTCTGAATAACTGAGTTTGGACAATGCACAAAAAGAAATCCTGCCTGCCTAAAGCCTTGGACAACTGTGCATCTAAACAGCAATTAGACAGCACATGTCTGGGCAGAAAGGGGCCCCAAGCACCACGATGTTAATGTATATATTTCTGCTTCATGCCATGTATCACTGAGGTCAAGAAAGCAGGAGAAAGCATCACCTCAGGGTTCAAACACCTGCACATGAAGATCACCTGTAACAATTACAACTTCCACAGGTTAGTCTAGGAAGTAAATTAAAAGTCAGTCAATGAGAAACAGAGTTTTCATAAATTACATGTGTACCAATTACTGTTATTTAACAGAATAGTATTAACAGAATAGGCTGCTCAAGATTTGAGCAAATTGTGTCCAATTTTAACCTCTTTGTTTTGTCGGGAAAGAAACTCAAAGGACCACATCCAGAAGTTACATCCTTGAGACACTAATTCTGCCTAATGCATTTTCTAACCTCCCTTTCCCAGCAGGCATGCAAGTGCTCAGGGTTTGACCATTTTACCTTTCAGAAAGCTGTCGAATCTGAGGAATCCCCATGTATTTGTTGAAGTGCTCTAACACATTCACAACACCCTGGAGAAGGTTGGCAACTTCCCCATATTGTCTCCTCCTGGTCATAGCCCTGTAGAGGAAATTAAAGATTTACAAAGGCAGATTTGATGAAAATCCTGGGTGGTAATTCCATAGGTTACCTCATCCCCACTGGGTCATGCCAGTCCCTATTGACATTTCTTCTTCTAAAATACACAACTCTTCATTAACGTTCCAGTGCAGCATTAAAATTTCACTTAACTGATACCAAAATAAACCAATCCAGCACACATCTAACATTGCCTCAAAATCATAAATGTCAAAAGCAATGTTTGGCAAAGAACATGTAAACTCCTGAATGCATCCGCTTCCCAGTATGGGTCCAGAGGCAGTAAATGTTATTTCACTGTAATGACCCGAGTTAAGCCATTCATCACCAGACAGAAAGTGTGAGCTAAAGCTTCACAGGGAGGATTATTATACTGAAAAGCTGTTAGCCTTGACTTTTCTCTTAATAACTTTCACAGGGAACTGACAGAAAAGAAAAAAAAATCAAGTTTATTTATTTTTATTTCATTCTTTAAGATGGTTCCAACTGAGACAGTAGCCTAAGTAAAACTGTATTCTGAACACTTAAGAACCCAGTGTTCATTTGCTACATTCCAAGAACAGGCTGTGCCTGGGCCTCCCAACTTCAGAGATGCAACATGAAAAAGACTGAATGTCCCCAGCCGGTGTGCTCCTCAAGCACAACGAAAAACCCCACAGAGGACTATTAGAAACATCTAGCCCCCTTTATATAGAGTACAAGCTGTAAGGCTTCTTTAAACTCATTCTCAGCACTAGAGTAGACCTTCCTGAAAGAGAATTCATTCCAGTTTAAGACATAAAACTGATTAAAATCCCCCCAGATCCCTGAACAGCATATCCCTAAGGAGGATACCTAACTGCACAGACTTACTCTTTAATGAAGCCAGACTCATTCCTTATCACCCAGGATCAACACAGCAATTCAAGCAATCGATGCTGCAAACCATTAAATACAGCAACACAGGCTGCAGGTCACTCAGAGCAACACAGAAATGATCTGCCAGCAAAAATCAAGACTGCAACCTATTAAGCAAACTTCCCTCCAGAAAAACAAGCAGCTGCTACAGACCTATTTAGAGCACTGCACCAAACATAAGAACGCAGCAGTGGCATCAAAGTAGCACTAAAAATTCACATACTTACTCCAGTGAATCCACACCCCCCGCCAGCATGTGCAGGTGGTTGAGGGTGGTGATGGAGGTGGTCAGATGACGCTTGGCATGATCTAGCTGCTTGATGTCCCGTGTGATTTCTTTAACCTAGTGCATAAAAAACCCGAGTCTGGTTAAGTATCAAGCCACACCAACAACATTTTAAGGAGATGAAGCACTCTCTCCTCTTTTCAGGACTACAGACACTTTAGCTCTACAACCAGTTAACACACAGACAAGGGTACAGGTTCAACACATGCTTAACAGCAAATTACCTCCCAGTCAGCAGGGCCAGAGACAAACATGTTCCCTCCTTAAGGATAACTGGAAGCAAAAGTCAGTGCCCTGCTCCCTTTCAAAGGTTAGAAAGAAACTACTGCTCACCATTTGCTCAGATTTTTCAGCCTTGTCTTTAATATCCTTAATTTTCCCAAAGAGCTGTTGAATGGCTTTCTGGGCTTCTTCCAGGGCCTGGAGAAGAATCAAGGTCAGAGTGGAAAGAAAACCTGCATTCCGTTTTCACCTTCTAAGAAATACACAATTGCTCCCTACAGCCCCTGGGCTGGGGCAGTGGAGGGATGCTGTTTTCCTGCAAAGAAAATACTGTTAGCACATCAAAAGTCAATGTACCATGTTGGGATATTTAACCTGAGTGGACAAGGGCTTCAGTATCCATTTTAAAATAATGCTTTGGCAAAATCTGAATGAGAAATTCTAGGAAATCACCTCTGTAATAAGAACTGTGAATAGATTTAAGCTTACTGCAATAAATTTTGACACACTAAGTGTGGAAAAATGTAGAACGTACTCAGCTGATACATATTTAGAGCAGGAAAATGAAACCTCCACAAACTCTGTTCACCATTAGCTCTAAATAAAAAATACACAGCATTACACACAGAACAGTGAGTACCCGCCTAAATGCCTCACTGAATCAGCAGGATATTATCCTGTTGGAAAACAACATATTTCGCTGGTTCCTTCAGGGTGGACAGCTCAGCTTCCCACCCACCTGCAGGAGGAATGGCTCTACGCACAGAAGAGTGGGCACAGGATTAGTGGGTAAAGAGGGTTGGGCATGGGAAATGGACCTGGCCTGGGGTTTTGTGCTGTTTTACTGCAAGCTTCCTGGGGCACGTGGTCCCCTTTATACAACCATGGTGCATCCTGACCTCACACAACCAGTGTGAACTACACGTGGATTCAGTGAGTGAAGCCACATGTCCACAATCACATGTCCAAAATCTGACTTCTGAAGTAATTCAACACATTTTGCCTTCCCGGTCTGATAACATTTCCAGCTCCAGCTCCACTTCGTTTCCTGCTGTTCAGTGGGCTTCTATCCCTCTGTTTTTATATCTAGTCCCATGACCAAGGTTACAGCACAAGCTACAAGCTCCTTCAGCAAATAAATTTAACACATCTTCATTTGGAAATGTATGAGCAAACTATGTGCCAGGAGCTTTTGCTGGAACATAGCTGCATTATAATAAAAGTATAAAAGTTGGAAACATTTTATAATTCATTTTCCAGAGGGGGAGGGGGGGAAATCTCCTCCGAAATATCTTCTGAATCATGTGAAAGTTAACACTTTATCTATTAGTGTCACACAGCTATCATATAGCATGTTCACTAAGGGAAATGAACACACAGTGTGCTGCAGGGACAACTAAATCAGAAATGGACACCATCACCTACCTTCTCATTTGGCTCCAGCATGGCCACCTTTTAGGATAAAGTTTTCTCTTCCATTTAAAGGCATGTGGATTAAGCACAAATCGAAGAACTAAAGAATGCTCCTTTCAACATATTTAACTACCGTCTCTGTACTCAGTCCCAGACCACGGCTGCAGCACATTACTCAAGTGAGCTATTAAGCAAGCAGCAACTATCCTGCATATTTTGAGATGTGGTTAGGTCTGTGTATATAGATATATGTATTTAAAAAAAAAAAAAAAGTCAACCTGAAATTCCTCACAGAAGCCAACTGCTGTTTCCCTTTGCTTCAGCACTAATGTTAAATGCCAATTTCTCTGCATGATCCCAGAGAAGTCAGAGCTGCTGAACTCTCCAGAAGAAGAGACGAGGATTTATCCTGCCAATTAAAAAGATTCTCCAAAACCAGATGCTATTTTCCTTCATATCCAAAGCCTAGGCAATCTCACAGAATTTACTCAAACTTTGGATTATCTCAATTCAACTTGCAGGGAAAGGTATTTGTTAGGATCTCATACATGCAGAACTCCTGGGAGCAAAGTATGGAGCATCAGCTGCAAGTAGCCTGGGGAAGCCCAATACCCATGCAGCACAGCAGAGCCATGCAGACATGCAGCAGGACCATCCCATATTCCCAATATGGGATGCAATACACTTACGACACATCTCTGATCCCATTCCCCTGTCCTAGGGCTAAATTTTCAGACGCAAGCTCAGACAATAGCCACAGCAGCTCTCCTTAGCATGACTGGCAAGGCAAACTCTGAAGACCTCCAGCCATCCACCACAATCCTTTCCTTGGCGTGCATCTCTAACCTGCTCTCCAAAGAAGAGAGCATTTGAGTTGCTACTTTCAGCATCAATATGCAGCTCAAAGCCATTTGTTCTTGACAGCCTTCAGCAACCAAATTCAGAGTAAACAACACTATGAGTGAGAAATTCCGCCTGAGGCCTTACAGGTTTTACATTAAAATCCCTATCCACAAAGGGATAATGGTCTTATCTGTTTTCCTCGTGAGATAGAATATCGTCTACTTGAATATAGGGACCTTTTCCAATGTTACTGCCCATAATTTATCCTCAGATACTTGTGGCTTTTACCTCGTTATAGACTCTGGAAAAACACAAACAAGACAACATGCTCTGCCCCCATCTGATGAATTAAAGAACTGTGGTTTCCTGCTGCTGTGATAGATAACATCGGTGGAATGAAGGGAGACACCCAACAGCCCCTGCCATTCTGTTCAAGTTCTGTATCAAACCTCTTGGAGAAGGGCAGACATTTCTCTAACTGTTAAAGAAAAAAATACCACACACAGAACTTCACAGCAAACTTCACAGACTTCAGTGAATCAGAACTGCTCATAAACACTCGCTTCCTTTCTAAAGCTCACTTCCAAGTATTTGCTTTGCCATTAAGACACAAATTTTTAGCTACTCTCCTAAATAGAGCTGCATATTCCTTATTTGTGTCAGAACACACTAATTCATCAATGTGCTTGGTTTTCTATATAATTTACATTTACAGATGAAAACATTTCTTCAAACATATGTAAGATTTTTGTGTGAAAATCTATTATTTTAAGTCATGAGGGCACTGTCAGACAGATGATGGGAAGTTCAGAACCAAATTAGAAGTGTTACTTCTTGCACAAAACCTGCAATTAAACTTTCTTATGGTTCATTTTAAAGAAACCAATGAAAGCTTTTTTGCTGTAACATTCCCACTGCAGCACCTGATAGTAAAATACTGTGGGAGGAAGGAAACAAAGAAACCAATGGAGAAAAACCTTCACCTTCCTGGTCATCATAAAGACAGAGTAAAGCAAAGAGCAAAACCAAGGAAAAACAAACTTCAAGAAAAGACCTCACATTTGATAAATGGCTTTCATTATTAAGGGATAAGAAGCTGGGACGAAGGGCATGAAAATAGGTTTAATTGTTCAAGGTGTAATATAGAAGTTTATTGATGTATCTACCAATCATCCTTTTACCTGTAAAAAAAAGAGAAGGGAAACCATTCAGCATTTTCTACCTGCTTTTGTAATTGTTTTATTAATAGTTCTATTTTGGACAGAAATTCTAAACCCAAAACAGTATCCAGAGAATAGGATTTGCTCTTACTCCAGCGTAACTGGTTTACATGCAGTAATCTTCCACCTGTAAGATTACTTGAGGCAGGGTTCACCTTGCATTACTAATTTATTGGTTTCCTCATCAGCACAACTGGGAAACATGTAAATGTACACACCCCAAACATGAAGTCATTGTGTTTCCTTCCCTACAATAGCAGTTCATTTCAGGGGTAGAGGACCACAAATAAAGAAAGAGACTGGATACATAATCTGTTGTGGTTATATGAAACAAGGATGTTGAAATTAAGGTTGTGATGTACTGGAAAAACACCATATGACTCCAATCAACAACTGAGCCTGCAAGCTACAATTAACCCACCAGCATTATTTATTAAACTTTATGCAACCTCTGAGGTCCTTGAACACCAGGCACCAGCTGAGAAACACAGCATGGGTAAGGCTTGACTGCTGGAGAGAGGCAGAGCCATCGGTCAGTGGTATCTGACGCTCTTTCCATCATGTTTGTCCCCAGGGTACCTCAGCTGCTCTGACAACAGTAAATTTAGCAAAGAGGGCAGGACCAGCAACAGAGCGAGAGACTCTAGACAGAGCACTCAACACAAGACAGGCTTCGGCTACGTATCACTTTCCTCCTCCTCTGGTGTAGTGTGGCTCATCTTCTGCCCCTGAAGGGTTCAGGAACTGTGGGTTCAGGAGCACATCCCAGCTGCAGGAGGGAAGCAGCAATGGTGAGATGACAGTGAGGCATCTCTGTGGGGCACTGCACAGCTCCACATGTAGCACCTGAGGAGGTACAGCCCCAGCACCTGCAGAGCAGGGACCCAAAGCACCATTCTTGGTGGGGAACACACAGGGGGATCTTCCAGTTTAAAACCATGGATGTAGAACCATAGAATCATGTATTTTTAACCATCCCCATTTCTCAGCCAATCTGTATTTTTGCAATGGAAGCTCCCCTGCTCTTGTGTTAACAGCAGAGATGAAATGCAGAAGACTGAGAAACCACACACAAGAGTTGGAAGACCCACCTCCAGAGCACACAGCCAGACCCCAGGTAAGCTGAGCAGACACTGAGCTACACGTTTTTTTATCAAATTCTCTAAAGTTGGAAGGAAAAACACAGCACATGAATCAGCTACAGCTCTCCAACCTTCTTCACCTTGAGATGCAACGGGAAAAGAGCCCAAACACACTAGCATAAAGCAAGAGGGAGCAGAGTTAAACCATGAATCACTAAGAAAAAGGCTGCCTAAAAAACAACTTTACTTGGCATTATCCCAACCAACTTCTAAGGTCAGTCTGCACATCATCACTTGTGTCACCTTTTCATATGAAATCTTCTAAGCAGCGAAAGGAGGAAAGAAAATAACCCAAAGTGAGAGGTAGGACAAGACCACATCTAATTCATTAGATTTTGAAGCAATGCATCATTCAAAAGATTATGTTCCAGTGACTAACAGTACTAGACTGGCATTAACACACACAAAAGCAGCATTAGCAATAATATTCAAGAAAAAAAAAACCCAGTGCAGTGAATTCAAGTCAGTGTCTCCAAATGCCTACAGCTGCTGCAGATGGACACAGCCTCCTCCTTCCCTCCCCAGCCTAGGCGCAGAGCTGTCATTTCGCTCCCTTCAACCTACAGTGAGTAGCGAGTGT